ACACACACTACCGTCAGTATCCGCCATCTCATCACTCTCCAGACGTGACTTACCCGCGTGAATTCGCCCAGCACACCCCTGTAAGCCAGATTGAAGACCTGGTTGCCGAAAATAGGCCCAATGAGCCATCCCACAGCCATCATGCCCAAGGTGCTCAGTCCCATGAGCATGAAGGGATCAAAGCCACCGAGTTGGGCGGAAAGGGTCGCGTCATAGCCATTGTTGATCATGGTGGTGAGACCAAAGTACGTCACGCCCACGGCGCCGACTCCCGAGCAGGCCTGGCCAATTCTCCGGCGCGTGCGGCGTAGGGCGAAGAAGGCGTTCCATGTGAGTTGGGGTTGTGCGCCGGGCGAGTTGTTGGCCACGGGCTGTGCGGGCGCAGTCGATGCATGGCGTACTATCAGCCTGGTGGGAAAGGTGGCGCGAGAGGCGGTGCTCGGGCTGCTGCGCTGTTGTTGTGGGAGCTTGCTTGGTCGTGTGCATGTGGAGAAGGAAGTCGCGGCGGCGGTGGATGCGGGCGCCAGTATCGCGGGTGGGAAGCGGCTGGCAAAGGCCCTCGCGGGACACAGTGCACTTCGTGTGAGCATCGTGGACGTGTCGTGGACAACCGTGGGGCGGCGTCGTGAGGTCGCAATCGTACCGCCAACTTTCCGCTTCGATAGATGTCAGTAGCTGCAGATTGCGGGCCTTGGCGATTGCGGAGAAGCGTCCTGCACTGTCGTCGCCGGATTGAGTTTGCCCTGCGCTTTGTGTCTTGCAACGACCTGGACTGTTGCAGCTCTTGATCCGTAGTATTTTGCGAATGCGCTCAACGTTGGCGAGACGTCATTTCTTCATCTTGCTCGGAGGCTGCTGACTCATCCGGTCGGCCATCTTCTCCACACTATGGGTCACGACCGTCTCTTTCGAAACTTCTACGTTGTCTAGTCTCCTGTCATCTCACGGCAAATCATGTGCTTCATTGTTCAGATCAACACGTCTCCTCGGCTTTTGTTACGTCTCCAGCTGCCAAGGGCAAGCCACGAGTGGTATGCCCCTCCGCAAGAGCTGTGCAGAATCTGGCAATGAGAGGCGAAGGCATGTGTCCAGTGTGCCTCTTCACAAGCTCAGATTCACCTGATCAACACTTTGTTTGTCAGGCCTTGTTAAGGGCAACCCCATGGGTTGTGCCTGCTACACGCACGTTCAATACTCACCCTTGTCTCCGTGCCACGCAAACAATACAGACGCACAGCGGTACCGGTCCAATGGATACGTACTTCATTCCTCAGGCTCTTCCTTCATTTCTGGGAATCATGGTTCAGCGCCCGTACCTGCAGTTGTCGCCCACCGGTGTGGCGCGATAGTCACGGGTCTGGACACGGGTAGGTCGATCGTTCAGCGAGACCACCACAACCTTGGAACGCTATGATATCCCTGTACACTATGCCTCGGCGACTGGGGATGGTCTAGCTGCTTTTGGTGCCATGCTTGAGGCTTGTCAACCGCGCAAAGGCTTTCTTGTGAACTTGGCCCAGAGTCTGAATCATTGGACAATGTAAATCGGAAAGACATGCAGGTTGTCATTGTAGGTGCTCAGCTTGAGTTTCAGTCTGTTACCACGGAGAAATCATATTGTCTCTGAACAGTGGCCAATGCCGTGATTCGGTGTGAGATGAACGAAGTATATCAAGTCTCGTTATTATAGCAAGTCAGCCAGTCAAATGAATGATCTGCCAAGTCGGGGTTCGGTATCTCCACGTCCTACTGTTGCCCTCTGCCTGAGACCAACTGCTCGCTATGCAGCAAACTCGTCCCCGCCCACTCTCCCTGAACATCTCCACGAAATGTCCAGCTCCATGGCGCGCCATCCGTCCCCCTACACCGCGACGCGCAACCTATCCATCAATGTCTGCATTGGTCAACGCCAACCATGAAATCCCTCCCGTGCCTCCCTTATCCTACTGGGACCCGGACACGCCGTCACCTATAGCGTCTGACCGCTCAGAAGTCTCGCCAAGCTCACCAGTGAACCCATTCCTCGCTCCGCCCAAGTCCCCAATAGAGCAGCAACACCTTTTCCCAAAGGCAGCACCTCTCCTTCCGGCCTCCCCTCTATCAATCTTTGACAGTCCAATGTCGCCAATGGCAGTCACATTTCTCCGTACACCCACCCCTTCGCCAACCAAGGCGACGTTTCTTCTTTCAGCCTCTCCAGATCTATCCCCGCGCTTCTTGCTCCCACGCTCACCGCCTCCTTGTACGGTGGGGAAGAGAAGGGTTTCCGTATACGATGTTGTGAAGGATATCGCAGAGAGGAGAGGGAGCGTCGCTAGTATGGTGAGGATGCAAGAGACGATGAAGTCGGAATTCTACCAGTCGCTATTCTTGAAAAGACAAAAGGAGACGAGTGGTTATTCGGGGAACGAGAAGAAGGGAGCGAGGACCAAATGGACGATAAAGGGAATATGGAGACGATTGACTGGTGGCAGAAATGATCGGGAAGTCGGAGAAAAGAGTAGAACTGCATTGGGCGTGGATCGCATGAAGATATCTAGGCCTCAGAGCCTTGTGTCTCGAGTTTAGTTATTACCTGAAGTTATTGCATGATTCAAAACGTGCCTCCAGAGTCGCCTACCGTGAGTTTGAAGAACACCCATATGGTAATAAAGCGATAGTTTTGAGATGTCAGTTCGATACAGGAATCAAGCTGACTGGAAAGTATCCACGGATCGAATGATACAGGCTTGAGTGAATCATTGGCGCGGATATGGAGTTCAATGGTAGATAGTGGCAACGGGACGCTGACGAGCTAGCGAAGAATGGGTTGCGAACCACGGGTGTCTCGGAGGTTGATCGACGTAAAATCTCCAGATGCCATCCTTTCCGATAGACAAATCAGCTTGTAGAGGATCTCGTGAGTAAGGCGTTGCGATAACCCCTAGAGCACCAATGACGTGTAACCTAGTAATCCCGGTGAGTGGATTTGTGGTGCGAAGCGGGCTCGAGATGCCGTTGATACCGAGTTGTGCGTATGAGCAAACATCTTCAGAGTAGAGATAGTGCGATTGTTGAGCAATGTTGGACATATTATTTGCGACACAACACCTTATGCGCAAACCTCAGGGTCCACTGTGATAAAGGCGTGTAATGCGGGTGGAGGCGTAATTCTCGGCGATACTGCTGAGAAACCACCAGCTCGGTGCAGGTGGGCTGTCGTACTGGGTGTCACGGCCGCTTATGCGGCGAAAAGGTCGGTCAGACTTTAGCGTAAGGCACACTGTGGTCAGACCGCGCCAGACTGGCTATTGGCTCCGCTGGAACTCTGGATGATACCATTGTGACATTCGCCATGGCAGGCGAATGCCAGGGGAGCGACGTCAGGCTCCGTGGCCGTGGTAGGAGTGAGGTTATCTTGGACCAAGACCAAGTGGATGCCGGTGGATGACAGTGGATCCTAGGGTGGTCCCAGGCGCGGATCGAAGCACCCCAACATACGACGCTCAGACAGGTGGTTATCAGTGGAGTCGCGCTAACAGCAGATGAGCGAGCGTTTGCAATTCGAATTTGACAATATCGCGATAAAGGATTCTGGTAGACCCTGATTTTCTGCGGGCCAGTATACAGTGGCCAGGCTGCTGGATCAAGGTGTTGTGATTGATTTGTCGACTGGTCCGATACGCAACGCTTCCAAGACGTTCAAGAAATTCCAAGCACCATTGGCATACTGCACTAAGACGATTGGGGAAGTACCCGAGCCTGACTCCGTGATTGGCTGCGATTCCTGGGGCAAATAGTTGTGGTTTTTCGGGCATCAGCACGGTGGATCTGGGAGCCGGTGCCGTTGGATGGGAACGTTCGCCATGAGGTGTCAAACACGCGACGTCGCACCTCTTATGGAGAGGATTTGGCTGTGTGGTTCCCCCACGCAGTGATAACGGCCTTCTCGAAGCGGGTGATGGAGCGAAGACGGGCCTAATTATCGAGGAAACTGAAACGAGCGAGGGATTGTCGTGCTGGGATGCGAGGTTAGATGGGCAATGTAACGCAATACTGCAGTGCCCATTACGCCCGATAACACAACACACGCCGCAATCACGAGCGCTTGGCTTTGCCTATTCGCGGACTTCGCGATGGCAACTCTGAAGCGCCCCGGAGCGCCACCGATGGAGTGGTTGACAAACAGTAATGTTGGAGAGGCATCGCGTCTCGGGCTAACCGAGGCGGAGATGACGGAAGCGAGCGCGCTAGACCGGCCCAGGCAGGTGCACATGGAGGTGGGGCACGTGAGAGGCTTCTCCAGACTACACCAAGTAAGCGCAACCATCCGGCTGCAGATAAGACGGCCGGTATGCACCAACCTCGATTCGCCAATTGGGGCAGCTGGCAAGGAAAGCGGCGTTGGATCCGAAGAAAACCGCGGTAGCCAAGGGAGCCCAGCACTGCAATCAGCGTTCTAGAAAGCCTGCTAGAACTTTGCTAAATCCGTCTCTCGCGTCTACTCGCAGGTCGCGCATTCGTTATCAGTCTGGTTTGGGACCAATCTCCGCCCAGCGACCGGGTCTGACCAAAGGGCACCAAGGGCCCCCTCGAAGCTCACACCAAGCCCTATGCGCCACCGGCCGATTTGCTGTTGCGGGGAGGTCCCAAGCTAATCCCAAGAGCCGCGGCGGGGCGCCAATTCACCGTCCTTGTTAGCGCTACCCGCTTGCGGCGAACGCTTGTTCTGGGTGCACACGACCAGCCAACCAAACACGGCGCCAGTCTATCTTTCGTCAGCCTGGCCCTTCACTGTAATGGAGGGGTGCCAAGCTGTCGGCTCGTGCGCCTCGTGCATCAATGAACGGGGGTCCCTGTCGCTCGTTCCGCGAGCCCATCTCGAACCTGGACTGGATAAATGTCAATTGCCTCCCCCTCCGCTGATCCATATCTGACATTAAAGAGCAGCCGGTCCCAGGGTCTCTCTCGACTTCATCAGTCTTTTCTACCCCCAGCACTGACCTGTCCAACCGCCCATCATGGACTACGAAAAAGGGACCCCGCCTAATGAGAAGACTACCGTCCCTCACCCGACTGTCGAAAGTCATGGTGAGGAGGCCGCCGACTGGCGCGACCAGGAGGACTTCATGACCCGTAACGGTCTCAACATGAAGTCTTTCCAGCGTCGTCCCCAAGAAGGCCCTATGGTCGTCCTCGACAAGTCCATGAAGACTCGCCATCTTCACATGATTGCCATCGGTGGTTCCATCGGTGCTGGTTTCTTCGTCGGTTCCGGTGGTGCTCTTTCTAGGGGTGTAAGTTGCACAGTACGCGGTCACTTCCGGATATGAACTTACAATTCTCTAGGGCCCTGCCACGCTTCTCATTGATTTCTCAATCATGGGTATAATGATCTTCAACGTCGGTATGTAGAGATCACACTTGTTTTGCGCACGCAAGCAAAACTGACACGGCTTGCAGTCTACGCTCTCGGTGAACTCGCTGTTATGTACCCCGTCTCCGGTGGTTTCTACACCTACTCTACTCGCTTCATTGATCCATCCTGGGGTTTCGCCATGGGCTGGAACTACGTTTTCCAATGGGCCATCGTCTTACCTCTTGAACTTCTCGTCGCCGGTTTAACAGTCCAATATTGGGATGGTGCCAAGGAAATCAACGTCGCTGTCTTCATCACGGCTTTCTGGCTATTCATTTGTCTCATCAACATCTGGGGTACTCTGGGATACGCCGAAGAAGAATTCTGGTCGTCGTGTATCAAGCTTGGTGCAACCGTCGTTTTCATGATCATCGCCTTGGTCTTGGTTCTCGGTGGAGGACCCAGCAACGGCATGTACTCTGAATACTGGGGAGCGCGTACCTGGTACAACCCCGGTGCCTTCGCCAACGGTTTCAAGGGATTCTGCACCGTCTTCGTTACCGCAGCCTTTTCCTTCTCCGGTACCGAACTTGTCGGTCTCGCTGCCGCTGAGACTAAGAACCCTTTGAAGTCTCTTCCTGGTGCTATTCGTCAAGTCTTCTGGCGAATCACCCTGTTCTACATCCTTGGTCTCACCTTCGTTGGCCTGCTCGTCGAGCACACTGACGAGCGTCTCATCGGTAACTCCTCCGGTGACGCCAACGCCTCGCCCTTCGTCATTGCTGGCAAGAACGCTGGTTTGATCGGCTTTGACAGCTTCATGAACGTTGTCATTATGGTCTCCGTTGTCTCCATTGGTGTCTCTGGTGTCTACGGTGGTTCGCGTACCCTCACCGCCCTCGCTGACCAGGGTTACGCCCCCAAGCTCTTCACCTACGTCGACCGTGCTGGACGTCCTCTTTACTCCGTTGCCTTCATTCTTATGTGGGGTCCCCTAGCCTACATGAACTTGGCCTCAACCGGTGAGACTATCTTCAACTGGTTCGTCGCTCTTTCCGGACTTGCCGCTCTCTTCACTTGGGGTTCCATCTGCCTTGCCCACATCCGCTTCCGCAAGGCTTGGGCTTACCACGGACACACCCTGGATGAGATTCCATTCAAGGCCGCTGGTGGTGTCGCTGGTTCGTGGCTTGGTCTTGCCATTATCGTCATCGTCTTGATGGCACAGGTAAGACTTCATCTGATCACCTTTGTAGTACATTTGGCTAACATGATCATCAGTTCTACACTGCTGTCTCCCCTATCGGAAAGAGGCTTGGTACTGCCACCGACTTCTTCCAGGCATACCTCGCTATCTTCGTCGTTGCTGCTTTCTGGATTGCCGGATACTTCTGGAAGCGCGAGGGATGGCTCCGAACTGCCCAGATGGACGTTGACACTGGCCGTCGTGAGCTCGACTGGGACCTCATCAACGCGGAGCGTGCCGAGATCGCCACCTGGCCCGCATGGAAGCGTTTCTTGAACCGCATCTTTTAAGCTTGTCTTTGCATGAGTTTATTTTACGGTCTATGGATCGTTCAAGTGTCCCGAGTCGATTATCAGTCGATGAACTTTTCCATTATCGACTGATACATCATGTTCGCCTTTCATACAGGTGATCTTAAATGTTAATATACCCCTTCTTTCAACGTCTGTGCCATATCGTGAATGCCATGGCTGCTGTGAGATAGTTCGCGGATACCAACAACTCATACATTAGCCTAATTAATGCTTCGGCTTCTTTCCATCTAGAACCAGACGACAAAGTGTTGCCCCTTGGCTGCTTTCTCATCATGCGCACTACACCAATAAAGCTTTCTTGTCTTAAGATGGTCTTGCGCTGCCAACCTTCTTGAGTCCAAGATCATCGCCTCAGCTCCGCTGCTCAGAGTAGCCAAGTCTCTTTCTTTTTCTGTTGTGACTGCACCTCAACAAATAAGAGATTGAACAACATAGAGCTTACATTACTACAAATTGTTCTGTTTTGCTCGTCTCATCCAAGTGTGGTCTGCAGAACTGTTAAGCTTTACCTTGTATAAGGTGATCGTGTTGTACAAACGATCTTGCACAGATACACACAGCAGACGTATATCACATGCGAGCTTGGGAGTTTGAAGAGATAAGGCAAGAGTTACGAGACTTGTTGTTTGCTAGCGAAGCGTAAAACAGTATCAAGACTGCGAATTCTGTTGCTATTCGCTACTTCGCAGAGACGCTGCCACAGTCTGAGTACCGCATACGCTTCGAGAATTGAGCCATATATCTGACCCCAATTAAATAGGTCACATCAAGAAAAGGAATCCATGAATTCCTTCACCTCTGGCGCTTGACCACCAAAATGCTTCTTCGGAAGAGCCGTAACTTCCAGACCGTGCAATGATCTCGCTCGACTCACTGTGTTCGCTGTTAGCTTGGTATCACTAGGGTAGATATGGTTTGACGTACGAGCAACATATACTTGGCTTGGATCGAAAGCCTTCTGCAGATTGACCTTGACTTTATCCATTGTCATGCCCTGAGCCTTGTGGACGGTAATAGCATAGCCTGCCATCAGAGGGATTTGAGTCCTGGACAACAGGCTATAGGGCGTAGTGTCGCCCAGCTCGAGGCTCGAACAATTTGGGAAAATTGTCCTTGTCTGGCCGTCATCGAATTTGACTACCGGCCAAGGCTGGTAATTGTTTTCTTCGGCATATCTCCGGATCTCATGGTGCTCGTACGCGGCGTGTGACCCAGCGAGAATTGGCCCATCGCTTCCACGTTCTTCGCTTTCCTTACGGGCCCGGGGTAGCTTTCTCTCGTCATATTCCTCAAATTCTACGATGACCCCCTGTGACCCGTTGACCAGACCAGCTTCAGGATCCAGATTGTGCTGCAATACAACTCGCATGTCTTTTTTGAACTGCAAGACTGATTCATACCTGTGTTGATCCTGCGGAGGAAAGATTAGTACGATGTCTATGTATGCGACAAGTGGCGACTCACCAGCTCTTTCAGCGTACCATCCTTGTTTCTAAAGTTGTATTTCTTGAACTCTGGGTTCGCCTTACGATGGTCTGGTTTCCAGTTGAAGTAGTCTTTGCAAGCGAACCGCCAAGGTTGAGATGGGAGCGCATTGATGCACTTGTTGTTGATGCGAAGGACGTCTGCTCTATGTGGGTAGATTTCCACTGCCCCTTCTGCTAAACATTCATGGTTCAGAAGCGTGTACGCATCATCCTCAGGGATGTCTACATCTGTAACTTGTCAGCGCAAGAGCTGCATCATGGCTCTGGACTTATTTACTTCTTCTGATTGACTGCAGAATTTCGACGAACTTGCGGTCGCTTTGTCGAAAGATCTTGGTCAGATTGACATTTGCGAATCTGCACTCCTGTGATAGTCAATAGATAGTCCCTATCTGATGGGCAAAAGGCTCAAATTTACCTGCCATGCACTACTACGAAATGCCCATTTGTCAACGTCGTGGAAGACGTTCTCCGGACAACTCCGGTTATCGCAGTGATATTGGTCATCGTAATCGTCCGCTCTCAAAGGTTTTCCACAGTTGAAACAGTTCTGGAAAGGCTTCACTGGGGCGAGTTGGCAGAACTGATATTGCGTTAGTCTTTGCATATCCCAAAGTCGCTACTACACTTACGTCTCCTGTAACCACAATTTGAACGCCACCGAAAGGTTGGTTTGAACCTCGGGCCGCCTTCATTACCTCATTCAGCCGAGTGAAGAAGTTGTTCTCGACCATGCTGATTTCGTCAATGACGAGGACGTCTGTCTTGTTCATCCTGTTCCAGACTTGCTTCCTGTGAGCATCTCTTCTCAATGTGTCCAAATCTTTGTTCACATCGGGCACTATCCAGCCAGCGTAAGACCTAATTAGACGTCAATCAGATGTCCAGAGATGCGGGGCTTTACCTCGTACCAAAGCGTGAAGCCACCGACGTTCAAAGCGGCGAGGTTTGTCGGCGCACAGATACGGACGACCTTGCCGAGCGACTTCAGTTCCTTGACAAAGGCCCGCAAAATGGTTGACTTGCCGCAGCCGGCGGATCCTGTGTAGAATACATTGTGCCCGTCTACGATAAGATCAACAACTCGTTGTTGCTCTTTGCTTAGAGGAGGCTCAGCTTGGGCGGGTGGGTTGATAGGTCCCGCTGGCTCTGTGTGCGTGCTGGCTTCCGCTTCCGGGCTCGAGTCTAGCTCGACTGGGGCGTGTCGTGACCCTAGCGGGTGTGAAGATTCATGTCGCGGAGCGTCATTGGCTACGCGCTTGCTCGGAGGCGAGTATTGCGATACGGACGCGGTTCGTTTAGCCCGAGGCATGTTGGCTCGCACAAAGGAGACGTCTCGTTCTGCAGCTGTCTGGAATCCCAACAGGGCTCAGACAAGACGCGTCGCGTCGAGCGGTGAGCGCTAAACTTATTCGGGAAGCCCCACTCTAGGGCTGCGTCATACGTCACCCGCTGCCCGCGACAGCTGCAGCAAAAGGAACATTACAGTGTTACCATCACGAACGTCGCCATGCGATGAAATTATTTAAGCATTTAATAACCAAGCCGTTGCAAGCCAAGTCTCATGATACAGTCGTGATACAGACCACCTGCCTGCACAAGCAACAGGACTATGACAGGATGCTGTCCCACACTGCGCATCACACAACTCCTTCCCATTTTCCTGCCCTCTCCGCCAGCAAACATTTAATCCGACCTGCACTCCTGTCAACGTGCCGCAGCATGACAGTATACTCAAGACTGGACGTACATAACTTTTAACTCATTCAAACCCTAAGTAGAAGCCTGCCCGCCGTGTGTATTACCCTGGGCTGAATCATCAGTATTCTAGTCAACGCGACGTTTTTTGAGAGGCGGCTCACTGAGAGGCGGCCAACTGGAGCTCGCATCCTCTCGCATCTTGTACTGCTTGAGCTCCAGGATGAGGCGGTTGTTCTCTTCGTTGAGTTTGCGATTCTTGTCCTTCTCGATGCGAAGCTCCTCTAGATACCTCTGAAGGCGCTTCTCGGGTACTAGCCTAGTCGGTTCGACCTTTGGCGCAGGCGTAGCATCAGGTTTCTCGTTCAAGATATCCTTAAGACCTTCAATGAGGAATTCGACTGTTACGCCCATCTCGAGAGCACCGTCGATGCCTGCTTTGAGATTGTCGAGTGGACCCTGGAATTTGCGCGGAAGACCTCTGGCAGGGTCAAGGTTTGATAGACGGTCACGTAAAGTCTTTTCAAGTTTCTGCAACTCTTTGTAATCTTTTTCTGGTTCGTCAGAATGGGTCGTGCGCTTGTATGCCGTGGATAAAAGGCCGTAGGTTGTGCGACAGCGCCGATAGTCTGCCCTATCGATGGTTTCCGAAGGTAGGAGTTCCTCCATGTCTGCACGCTTGTCAGTATCATTCTCACTCTCAGATTATGAATGCATTCTATGTACCTTCGATGATCTTGCCAATCTGGCCATGACCGATTTGGGAAGTAGCCATTGCAGGGTAAGAATGCGTGTCTATCGCGGGTTGGAGATGGTTGATGGGAGCGATTAATAATTAGTCGAGTTGAATCAACGGTCGGCGCGGTAGTAGTCGGAGAGAGTGGGGTTAAAGTAAGCAGTATCCATGGAGGTAAGTGTGTTTGTGCCTGGATAAGTGGGTCATGTGAAAGTAGGCACGGGAAGGAATGAGAACCTAGTGCTTTCCGCAGGTGCAAGCGCGACCCTTCTTGTTCTAGTTGGCTTGCCTCAGCTGTGCGCACATATCATGTTCACTTCGTATATTCGTATATCTAAGCCTTGTTGAGGTCATGAGTGTGAAACGAGTGATGGACAAAACCGCCTAGTGGCGGCTCGGTTCACGACGTTCTCAACCGCCGCAACTTCCTCCACTTGTAAGAACGAGAGCAAGTGACAACAGCATCTAGGATACAATGAAACGCGATCTCCCCTATACTTGATCAAAGAATGGGCTGGACACAATCTAGTCATCTAGATAACTCCCGGTATGGCACATATTCGTAGACTTTTGCCCACAAGCAATTGTCAGCACCGTCTTTGTCTTGTAGAGATCACACTCCGCCCGAATCTCCTTATCCGCCCAGAACCACTCATCTCCCTGTCTAATCTCTATGAACCTACTGTAAAGATCCTGATAGAAATGGCGGCCGAGGAAAGCCATCATCTTCGTCGTATCTAGAGTATCTTGAGGTGTGGGAGCCGGGATCGCAGCACCAAAAGTATGTGATGCAGATGGCGCCACCTTAGCTGCCACCTTGGGTGGATGCGCTGGAAGCGCGATGCGAGCGCGACGGATGTTATCGAAGCCTACAATCTCCATTGTGTCGAGGACAGTGTCTGAAGCCTGCTTGCTCACGCCGTGAGCCTCCAGCCGACAGGAAAGATGCTCGTCAACCCATGATGATAGCTTGGGCCCTTCGCAGCTCATATGCGCATCCACTGAGAGTATTTCGATTTGTCCACCGGGCTTGAGCACACGCATGCAGTCGAAGAATGATCGAGCCCAATCGTCGTTTCGAAGAACTGTTGCGACGGAACGCGAGATAACGGCGTCGAAGTAGTTATCGGGAAACGGCGTTGGAGATGAAAGTGAAGGAATGTAAAGTATATGATGGTTGAGTGGCGCAGGGTACGTGGTAACTGGCTGAGTCTTGGTGGTAGAGAGCGTATATACTGTCACTGCAGGGTAATGGTGTGCTAACATCCATCCATCCGCTGCGGTAGTCAGCATTAATGAGTGTTTCGAGCGAGGCAAAGCTGCAGGACAGACATACCTAGAGAACCATGTATTTGGAGTACCCTTCTCTGATCTGCTGGTTGACTACTACTCAGTAACTCATGCGCAGGGGACTGTAGGGGTTTGTTCTGCGTCAATCGTTGATAGGCGGTTAGTGCCCATAGCCGTTGCTCGAACATAATCTCTTGAAAGCTCTCGTCATCGTCCAAGCCGTCCCACTCTTCGCTTAAACGAGCAGACATGATGCGGGTACCAGCATTCTCCATCTTCGCCAGCGCCCGTGTGAACGGCGTTTGAGCGGCTTTGACACTTTGGACACGTTCACTGCTGTGTGTACTGCCAGTTCGTGACCCGCGCTCGACTGGCTCGAAATAAGGTGGTTGGGAGATCGGCTGAGGCCTGAAAGAAACTTTAGGAGGGCGAGGGTCATCAAAAGCATCGTCCGAGAGGGCGGTCTCGTACCCTGAAGCGCCCGAAAAGACACTGTGATTGGATTGTGTAACGCTAGATGGATTGGATGAAGCGCGAGAAATAGTGGAATACTGTGACTTCCTGTCTGCAGTATGTGTAAGCATGCTATTCATGTGCGATCAAGGTTTAGCCATGCATGCTCCAGGAGACTGCATATGCAGTTATGGTAGTCGAAGCCTTACGTTCAGGCATCAATAAGACGATTTGTACGTACCTGGTACACTGACAGGGCTAAGCATCCCTGGTGTGGGAGGCAGCGCACCAGACGGAGGAGGAGATGGCAGCGGAGGTGGAAAGCGTGGCGGCTGGAGTTTTCGAGATGTTTGATCAGAACGCTGGGACGGTGGCCTCTGAGACACTTGATGGTGTGTATCTAGAGGAGCAGTGGGTGGTGCCGGTCTTTGGTCAAGTCCGAGTTCAGACTCTGGCTTCATCGCCAGCTCTTTTGGACGTTGTGTCTCCTTACATGTCGGCAGCGGAGCGATCTCCTGGATGCCCTTTTTATTGTTCTTGCTGAACCAACCGCCGAAACCACTCTTTCCTCCTGATCTTGAGTCTGACGAGCTCGTTGCATCTTGACGTTTGCTGCTGTGCGTGCTCCCGGATGACTGCGAGGTTGCCGAGAAGGACCTTCTGGTCGTATCGTCTTCCTTTGCTCTTCTCGCTTTGCGAGCTCCTACCGTCTCGGCATGCTGAGGAGGAACATCAAATGTTGGAAACATGTTGACTATCTCGATACGGTGCCCTCATCGCCTTCCAGGCGGGGATCTTCGCTCGATAATAGTTCATCGTTTCGGCATGTCACAACACGTACCACCTGTTAGGCCAGCCCGTCCGCGGAAAATAGTCTCAATCTCGCCAACTGAGCCGACTAGCGTCTTTAGCGTGATGATTGTAGTCTGGTGTTGGGTGTTGCAAGTCAGCGGTGGTTGGTGGCCTTACAGACAGGGACGCCCGGTTCCCGCCGAGAATAACGCCGAACTTAGCGCGGAAGTCCCCATCGATAACAGTGCAGATGATGATCGTCGCAAGTGACCTTTCCCAACCCACACCTTCGGAACAGACAACCCAAACCAGAGGGGTACTGGACGATGACAGTATCAAGATCTTCCCTCCTCCTGCACATCGCAACAACACACTCGCGCAAGCATGTCACTCCTTACCGCCTATGCAGCACCGACACGTACGCTCATAAAGACGGTTTTATCACATGTGCGCCACCAGCCACTTTTAGCGTCTGCTAGATGACCGCTTACCTTCCCCCTTCATGAAAGCCCCGGGAAGCGGCACAGCAACCATTGGATCGAGCACGTCAAAGCCATCGTTGGGACCTGTGCGACTCGTTAGAATTCCTTGGAAGACCCGACAGTCAGGTACCTTTCGTTCCTTATGTCCAGTAACCAAGTCCGATTCCTCTGCCGATGCGCCATCGGTCTTGGACCCTTTGGACTTCAAGACCGTAACTTCGTAATGACTAGACTCATTTGCGACATGCACCGCACAAAGTCAGCCTCGGCAGCGATGGAATTGACACCGCTGAGATGTTGAAGGGTGTGGTGCAAGACATACACGTACATGGCACACGACGTCACTACCACGTATCTATCGATTGCTTGACTCGTTTTCGCTTCCTGGCTCAGTTGAAGTTATCTAGATACTGTGCTAATGCCAGTGGATTACTCAGTGCGGCCCACAACCCGGAATCCGACGACCACATTTTAGTGTAGGTGACATAGCCAAGGCGGACGGTTCATCAGTGGCGTATGCGCGGTTGCATCTCACCGAGGGACGGCTTGGATGAGAAGATGAAACAGCAACACACCTAGCCGTTCGACCTGCCATAATGGAGCGGCAGATTTTTAGGCATATAGTGTCTTCCACATTCGCTTAACGAGAATACATCTCCGATCACGGAGGATGCCTTATGTGGCTTACCGCGAACTCCTTACGGGATCGTTGCGGGCACCTGCATGACGCGAGCGAGCTGCTACGCTTTATCCCCTGCACTAGGTGTAGTCTCCGTATCTTCCTCTTTGAGTACGGCGAGTATATCTGGGGATTGATCTCCGTCGTTACCTGGGGTGTCGATGATCTTGTAGTGCTACACCATTCTATCATTCCGGTTGTTTTGCTTTTGGCCTCTGAAAATGGGTTTCATTGAACGAAACAAAGCTGCTCTCAATGATGTTGTTTCCGCTTCATTTGTGGGCAGGTATTTCCACCTTGACGGATCAGGACATGTGAGTCGTTCTTGGATTTCCAACATACCACGCAATACTGACCATTGAAGCCCAATGAGATCAAGAATGCGAGGTTTACGACAGAGCTGCGCGCTGGACTGACGACGTTTTTCACCATGGCATATATTATCGCTGTCAACGTAAGTCACCCACGCTATCAAAGTGGTACGTGTGCTAACGAAACCATCACATGTAGGCCTCCGTCCTCACAGACTCCGGTGCGACATGTGTCTGTAACGACCCTGTCGACCCAACATGTATCAACGATGAAGCCTACTCTCTCTGCCTCCTCGAAATCAACCGCGACTTCGTTACTGCTACCGCCGCCATCGCAGCGCTCGGCTCGTTCCTCATGGGCCTCCTTGCAAACCTTCCAGTCGCGCTCGCACCAGCCATGGGCCTTAATGCGTATCTGGCATATCAGATTGTCGGGTTCCACGGCACTGGTCCCATCGACTACCGTGTCGCAATGACTGCCGTTTTCGTCGAGGGCTTCATCTTCGTTGCGCTCTCCCTCGCTGGTATTCGCCAATGGTTGGCCCGCATCATTCCTGCTAGCATCAAAGTCGCATGTGGTGCGGGAATCGGTCTCTTCTTGACACTGATCGGACTTTCATACTCTGCTGGTATCGGTGCCATTACAGGAGCTAAAGCCACACCACTTGACCTTGGAGGCTGCCCCACTGAGTACCTCGACCCGGACACTGGCTCTTGTCTCTCACACAAAGCCACCAACCCGACCATGTGGCTCGGCTTCCTCGTGGGCGGTGTCTTCACTGCCCTGCTAATGACATACAAAATCCGTGGCTCAATGATCTTTGGTATCGCACTGGTCTCGATTTTCTGCTGGCCTCGCGACACTTCAATCACCTACTTCCCACGCACAACAGTTGGTGACAGCCGTTTCGAATTTTTCAAGAACATTGTCGCTTTCCACCCTATCAAACACACTTTGTTGGCACAGGATTGGGATTTGTCCAATGTGGGCGGGCAGTTTGCTCTGGCTGTCTTCACTATGCTTTACGTCGATATCTTGGACGCGACGGGCACTTTGTACTCCATGGCTCGCTTCTCGGGCGTTGTCGATCCTGACACGGGTGACTTCCCCCGTTCGACTATTGCGTATTCAGCGGACGCTATTGCCATCTCCATCGGCTCCCTCTTTGGATCTTCGCCTGTCACCGCTTTCGTCGAGTCTGGTGTAAGTACCATATCCGACTGCTTTGAGTTTCTTCAATACTAATATCTACAGGCTGGTATCCAAGAAGGCGGTCGCACAGGCCTTACAGCAATCACCACAGGCATCTGCTTCTTCATCTCCCTCTTTTTCGCACCCATCTTCGCCTCCATCCCGCCTTGGGCAACAGGTGGAGCACTCATCTTGGTTGGCTGCATGATGATGCGCGGTGTCTTAGCCATCAACTGGAACTACCCAGGCGATTCTATCCCCGCGTTCGTTACACTCATGTTCATGCCTTTCTCCTACTCCATTGCGTACGGTCTCATCGCTGGAATCATGTGCTACGCCATCATAAATACCACAACATGGGCTCTCGGTGCCATCTCAGGCGGACGCCTACTTCCACCCGACTATGACAACAAAGAATACTGGAGCTGTAAGTCTCTCCATGTACTGATTCCTTCCCCAAAGCTACGCTAACATTCTCATTCCAGTCCGCTCAGACTCGCCACGCGCTCAGCCTTGGTTCATCCGCGCCATGAAGGGCGACAAGAAGTTCTGGAGACCCCAGGATACCGACTCGTTTGAGTTGGAATCTACCGAGGCACGCGTCGAAGCCCATACCAAGGCCTAAAGAATTGTTCTCGTGATTGTCTTCGCGATAGACCGTTTGTACGCCTTTTCTGATCTTACGATACCAAAGTCTGGTGTGGTTGCGGTTATAGATTCGCTTAGATAGACTAATTAGATATAAACTTGAAGACATACTACTCCACAACTACATGCGTGTGATGACTTTCAAACAGCTAGATTGCCTTCCTTTCGACACAGCTGCCCTAATCATATAACACCAAACATCTAACCTCAATACTCTGCCGACCCGGTGCATCCTCGGGCGTATTCGGATCCGCAAAAGCAGTGTGCGGTGTTCTAACAGCCACACCGTCCTTGCCGTGAGACATGCCCTCTCCAAAACTATCATAGCACTTGAGCAAAATAACTTCCTCAGGCGTCATGTCTTTCTGGTAGTAGAATTTGTGCTGGTCGTTCGCTGCCACCGACATAGTTTCGCCCTTGACCTCGTAGCCTTCTGTGGAAGTATGGTTGTTTGGGTCGGGAAGGACTTCCTTGCCCCGGTCGTCGACGTCCATGGAGTCGGCGCGCTTAGGGTATAGGAGGTTTGTAGCAACGAAGTCGGACGTTGATGTTGTTCTCCAGTCTATCATGGCGAGGGGATGGTCCGAAGCAGGATTTTCAATAGGTCGCCAGACGTTGATGATTTGGTAGCGGCCTTTTACCCATTCGTCGGCTTCTTCAGGTGAGAGATGGCGGCGTACACGTGCTTCTGCGGCGGCTTCGGTCTGGTCTACATGGACTTGCTGGACTGGTTGCCTGGGTGAGTTCTTGTCTCGTCTCCGGATCGTGTGGTCGAAGATGACGACCTTTTTCACGCCAGGCAGCTTGTTGCGTAGTAAGGCTTCGACTTCGGCGTAGTAGCCTTCTCGTACTGCTGCGTCGTCTGTGAAGGCTTTCTCTTTGGCGGGATATTGGTAGACGGCGAAACCGGAGTTGTCGGTGTTGAATTCATGTTCGTGGCCGCGTAGATTGTGGACGGATCGCTCGTGCCATTTGTGCGAGAAGCTGGTGCCAGGTCCGTCTACCTTGGCCCAAGGCTTTCCGGAATAGGAGTCAGTGTCGATGTGGGAGAAGCTTGCTGTGGTCATCTTGGATGTTTGAGCTTCAGACTGGAGAAGACGAGTTTGCGCGTGGCCTCCCAGGTATGGGGTGTAGGATGCGGTCTGATGTAGCTTTGGGAAGTGGTGGCTGTAGCTGGTTCGGGCTGCTCTTGTGAAAGTCGCAAGTCTTGTGGCAACGCTCATAAGCGTGGTTCTATCGTGATCGGGTTGAGTGGGGTTCTTAGTTGAGAAGTAAGAAGGAGCTGATGCTGCAGGTGTTTATGTACGCTCCACTGCTTAGAAATGATACATGACGCCATACTGGAGTTTGGCCGATGTGCTCATGAACTAACCAATCAGATTTCTCCTTCACGCCGACCGTGAAATCGTCGTGAGCAGTCGCGTGCTTTGGTGGCGAAGACGATGCTACGTAATAGGCTACATCCAGACTGTGCGGACTTTTCTTATACCCGATTGGCTGCAGGCGACTTCCCCGCAACCCTCAGTTCGGCTTCAAGATGTGTGCCGTCACTGTCCGATGAACTTCTGTCTCTTCTCCCACGCCATCCTAGGAAAACACTGAACAGTCTAGAGCCTATGTTAATGTTGGGTCACCTACTTAGCAAGTTTTTGTCCTGATGTAGACTGCAGACCTGTTCAGCTTTTTTCTTCTATGTGGTGCTCCCATTATGCCACGACATGCTGTTAGCGATGATGACGAACCACTCGAGGACAAGACGGCTGCTCTTACGCTGAAAAACAAGAAGACGGAGCGCATGAAGCGCAAGAACGCGACGAGACAGCAGAAACGCGACGCCATCGTGAACATAACAAAGTTGCCGACCGAGCTCATCCTCGAGACGCTCAAATATCTCCGTCCCCACGACGTTCTCGAGTTCAGCTTCGTCAACCGCCGCTTCCACAGTATCGTCGAGGCCAACGCGAACGTCATTGGCGACGCCATCATCGCACGCCGCTACAACATCCTCATCAAATGCCTCCCCACGCCCCGACTCCTCGCCGACGTCGACGCCCCCATACAAACCCTCCTGATTGACCCCGCGCGCCAAAAGCAACTCAGCATACACAATCGTCCATACCAACACATACAATCTCCCGACCCACACCAGCTGTGCACATGTCTGACCTGCATCTTAACGTGGAATAATCTAGGCCTAGTCCTAGACTTTGCGCACTGGCAGAACCACCTCGACACGGGGACTCCGATCCCCATCATACCGCGCGGGCAATCACCAGAGTGGAACCAAGACCTCGTAGCGCGCAACGCGCGTATAGCCCGCAAAGCGGTAGACGACTCGCTATGGCACGCTGCAATTCTAGAACGACACCTGGAAAGTACCACGCGAGCTATACGGCGGCACTCGAAGAACCGAGGGAATAAACGCGTTCACGTGGAAATGACGGAAGCGGATGCTGCGCAGGAGACGGATGCCTTTTTGGCGAAACATGGACCGCCGAGTCTGGAGTTTCCGTACCAGCGGGATGAGTATTATATGCTGTAAGTCATTTATCATCCATATCGCATGTGCACTTGGGCGCAAGTTTGTTGACAAGATGCCAGGGAAGCATACCTACCCAACCGGTGGTGGAGGAAGCAAGAGGCGTATTGGTTCTATACGATCAATGGGCAACACGAGCGCGATTTAGAACTTGTCCAACGCTTCGCGAAGCGGTAATACAAGACCTCGGGCTCTTCGAGCCTAGCACAACACTCACGACAGTGTCATGGCAGATATCGAGACTCAATGTGTTATGGAGTGCTATGCGAAGAGATGAGTATTCGTATATAGGAGCCATTCGCTAAAGCGCAGACAACGCATGAACTAAGTTCAAGACACAACGCCTAACCCAACCGCAATCCCAATGCAAGGTGACCTAACAGCTCGAAAGCAAAAGAAGCGCTCATATGCAGAAACAATGCAACGTTGCTGTCCTATCCACAGTTTACCTCTAATTCAACCGCTCCGGCCCACCGCTAAAGCTATACCCACTCCCGCTGTGGCTCGGCGCCCTGTCCATACCCATACTACCCAGAGGCCCCGCAGCAGCCTCTCTTCTGAATTCTTCATATCCGCCCGGACTCAACGCGTCCACGCCGGCGGCTATACTCGCGCTGCTGTCTCTGTACTCTGCATACGGAGGCACCGCGCCCCTGCCACCACCGCCATACGTTCCATTCCTATCCTCGCCCCAACTCAGCGGCCGGCCTGGGTGCCTACCCTCGTCCGTTTCCGTGCTGTGCAGCAACGCGTATTCGTCTTCTTCTTGGTTCCCGCCGCGGTCGGTACGGCGATCGAGCGAGTCTGAGGAGTCGCGGCCGTTTGCGGTCTCGATCTCGGTCGACCAGGCTGCGTCTTTCGGGTTGTTGTAGGCGGAGTCGCCGGAGGCGTAGTGTGTGTTCTCCGAGGAGGATTGGTAGGGCATGACGCCTTCGCGGAGGTATTTGTGGAGGTAGTAGCCGGATACGCCGGTGGTGATGGCGAAGAAGAGGCTGCATGAGGGTTAGTAGACGTTCTGTTTCATTTGACATCTGGGCTGCAAGGATGCTTACAAGACCATGACACCGACGCCTACAGCGGCCTTGCTGACCTTGCACTTGGCCTCATCTCCGTATAAGAATGTTGTGCAGTTGCGGTCGTCATCTGCAATCTTCTCCTTCTTGGCTCCCTCTTTGATACCGTGGGCGTTCCACATGGCCACCGAGATGAAGGCGGCGAACCACAGTATAGTGTATAAAGCGTCGACGGCGAGGAAAGCGTAGGCGGAGGCGAAGCGTTGGGCGCGCGACCACATGGGTACCATTGTGAGGTAGATTATGGCGGGAATGGAGACGAAGCACTGCGAGCAACCCTTTGTCAGCCATGTCCATGTTGACGTAAGAGACCATCTCGAAGACGATGCCGTATAGGAAGAACAGAGTGCAACTTACCATGGCAAAGAAATACTTTGTAGGTCCCTCAACGGGGCCATCCTTGGTCATAACAGCGATGGTAAGACACGCGGCTATGAAGACGAAGATGGCCTGGAAGACATGTGCCACCACCTTGCACTTCTGGATATACGACTGCGGTATCCGCATCTTGTGTGGATGTGTCTGTCTCCCCGATCTCAAAGTCGTAGTATGCGTGGAAGGGCGCGGAAAGGCAAGAAGGGTGAGCGTAAACAGAGATACGTCAATACGGGTAGCCTCCGGTTCTACCGAGTCTGCTCTCTGCGTCACGCAAATTGCCAAACAACAAACAACGTCTTAGATTCGTGTGCGTAAGGAGATGCGAAAACAGAACCGCGAAAGAATGTCGTAGTCTCCTCGGACAACAATGGAAGGGCGCAGCGTCGATGTCAGACACGGTTCGAGTCTCAGCCTCACTGCTTGGTGGATCCCGCAAGCCTGCCAAACTGCCCAGTCGCGTCCCCGCCGCGCAGCCCGCTTCTTCGCTTCTGCAGGGTTTGTGCCTAACCCGGCAACCACACTGTAGCGGCGCTGGTGGATATTAATAGAGGGCGAGAACGGGTACCGGCTGAGTTAGGCGGTTTAAGGGCTAGGGATGGGCGTTCCTGGTTGAACCGTTTGGCGTTGGCGTTGGCCGCTGGTTGCTATGGGTGAGGGCGATGACGTGGGCTCTGTCTGGGCGACTCTTGTGTATGCACTGCCAGGCTCGAACAATGCTGCGGTGGTATTGCTTGCGAATATGTCGTGCATTTCACATATATACATTCACGCTCGCGCATTCCTTGATCGATGAATATGCCTTGCCTAGACACCTGACCTCGTGTTCGTTCAGCTTTGCAGCTCACAGCCTCCGCCTAGCAACGCACCACAGCTCGAGAAACGCGCCACCACAGGATTGTTCACCGGTACAATGCTGATGCTCCAAAGGCCTTCCACTTTCTTTGCGCATAGATTTCTTTCGCCTAGCCTGTGGTACACAGCGAGTTCTGTCACCCGAACAAAAACTGTATCTCAGGACCAGTTGGCATGCTCTTCAACCCAGTTATCCTTCTCCAAGCCGCCATCAAGGAGGTATGCCTGAGCAGTCGCATTGCCCCTCCACTGCCATTCCAGGTACGCGACAGCCGCTTTGCCCTGTTTTCCACCATTCGTAGCTGCAAAAGTGCCGTCGTGGCCAGTATCGAGGTTGGCCCTCAACTTGGGAGTGCCCGTATCTAGGAGAGCGTAATCCTTCGCCGACTATCGAGAATTAGCATTGATAGAGACCAGGATCTATCTGGTCTTCAAGGTAGACTCACGGTATTGTACCCCATGTCTTTCGGTCCTCCAATCAAGTACACCATAGGCACTTTGAGCTCTTTGAGTAGGTACCTCCTGTCATCCTGAAAGATGGCAATGTTGAAGAGCATGATTCTCTTGACTCTGTCATCGTGGTACGCTGTCGACATGGACTCGAGACCTCCACAGCTATGGCCCGCCGTCGTGACTTTAGTCAAGTCGACGTTTCCGTATTTCTTTACTTTGCCGGCGAATGCCCAGTCTAGAGAATCGCGCATGTCTTGGACTTTGGACTGTTGACCAGCTTGGAATCCAGAGCCGTCAGGTGTACCATCTGCAGCGATAATATATCCATAGCTGGCGATTTCTACCAACAGCCGCTCGTAGATACCGGCATTGAGGCCGCATCCGCCGTTACCCCATGCGATGAAAGGGAGACTAAGGTTGCCAGTCGGAGGGGTCTTGGGTGCAAAGATGGTGTGTCTCGGTAGTGTAGAGTCGGTCAACATTTGCGCTGGGTAGGGTCCCGAGCCAGACGTCTTCGCGCCATTTCCTTTGGGGGACTCAGGGCCGGTTCCACCAGCGCCGGTATATTTGGGTAGCTCGGTGAGGGATATGGAGAAGATACCGCCTGCGAAGTCGCCATCACCTTTAGCTGGGAAGTTTCCAGGTGCGGGCGTGAACGTCTGTGCCAAAGCGACATTCAAGACGCTGGGCACAAGGCCAAACAGCGAGAGCAGGGCGGAATTCAGCATATCGGCAGCAAGTCCAGGTGGATCATCGAGTCGTGGTCGCTATTTCAGCGACAGGCGTTTTCATACACCCATCTTATATGTGAACATCTAGCGGTATGCGTATGAACAATGCTAGTCCTTTGCGCAAAGCCCATTCTGTCAGGTTTGCCGCATCGTCGTCGATCTGACCCATTGACGATACTCGAATAGATGGGGAAAACCGCCAAGGAGACCGAAGTAGATTAATGGTTGATTGGCAAAATACTGATTGAGGAGAAAACCTGGGGAAATCGAATGCATGTTAGTGGGGACCAAGAGTCTCGGATGATACTTCGGTAAATAATTTGGTGATGAGTTGAGCCGCGGCAAGCGTTTCGTTAGTTGCTCAATATAGCCGCTGGGAACCCAGATCTTCGCAAAAGATCAGCACTCAAAACCACGGTCGGGTTTTCTGATCTTCATTTGCCAAATAAGTGTGACTCTCGCCAAGGTGTCATGAATAACACGTTAGAAGCATTAAAGACCTAGAGCAAAGAGAGGGAATGAGGTTCTCGCGAAAGAAGGTAAACCTCCATGTCAAGGGTTATGTATGAGCCCGAACCACGTACTGTTCCATTGACGCAGCAGCGAGGAACAGCAGTCTAGCCTGACTTCACTGTCATCGTGCAAAAACGTGTGCATGTCCTGCTCAACGTCGCGATTCGGACCTGCTGCGATGGCGGTCAACTGTGTCCTTCCGAAGAGCCGCAGATTGCTCTATAGGCCGAGTCTGAGAAGCTCAGCTCGCACGATGACTGGTGACGTTTCTCTTGGCAATTGTATAGAGGATGCGACGATGAAAACTTGACGCGTCCTTCAGCCCCATGCCATGTATGTGATGCTCTCGAACGCGTTGCGTTCAAGGCCTTTCGCGAATCCAGCCGACGTGTCGCGCTTCCAAACGACGTCCATTAAGCACAGGCAGTGCTAGGAGGCTAGTCTTTGTACTGACGTATACAAGCTAACAGTGGTGCGACCGCTTCCTTCCGACGGGTATGCTCGGCGGATGTGAACAACGCGTACTTCGTATAGCGGTGCTTTTATGAAACGTGGTAGCCAATCGCATCTCGCGCGCGCTGAGAGATTGTCGTCGAGGAGCGTGATGACTGAACGGCCGAGATTCCGCGATCCCATCTCCTGCTGGCGCATCAATACGATACCAGTCATGTTCGCTACACCAGCGGTAGCTGTACCCATCGCAAGCGTCGGTGTCATCGGGATTTGTAATAGACATCACAAAAAGGAAGTACAGCTGCACGCTGTGCGACGCAGGTTGGGTGGTTGAGGAAGACAGACGGATCGCGTGCGCCGCATTGAAGCTAAACCATCGCTTAAGCAGGCCTCGGCTGATCGGCGGGATGCATGGCACGAGCTCAACCCTCACATGCCCTCGTCGACCGCATCGCAATGAAGCCATTCTGATATTTGACAAAAACCATCGACCATCTGTAACACCATCGCCACAAGGCTTGTCGGAGCGCCTGATGCGCTTCGGTAATCACTTGGCAGCTCGCCAACCCGAAGAAGCTGCCGCTCGCGTACGGTGTGCTATACTAATCAGAGTCGCCCTTGCCCGCCTCCTACTGTTTTGTAATCACCAGGTTACAATGGAAAAAGCTGGTTCCCTTAAAACAGCGCTATGGCATTGTCCTCTGCGGACAAGATGTACTCGGAGTTAATTTGCGTAGCTTCAGCGAGGGAGTCGTAAAGCCACCGGCTATGATGGTTTCGAAGGTTTGATTAGGCATTTTTTCTCCAGACTTCTCCTGGGCATGCTCACCCCACGCTTACTGACCTCTTTGCATAGCTAATTCCTCGCTACACTGTTGATGCCAACGGGCAGTGGAACCATATGCCTTCGCAGTTCCGACATACCATACCATCCGAGCGCTTCCCTGTCGAAAAGGGCCGATACGTGCTGTACATCAACTACGTCTGTCCCTGGGCACACCGAACCACCATCGTACACGCTTTGAAGGGGCTCGAGGATGTCATAGACTTGGTCGAGGTCGATGCAAGGGACGCATCGCATGGCTGGTTCTTCTCTGGGCGTAGCGGGCCCAAGAAAGACCCCGTGTCTGGCGCGAGATGCCTGAAAGAGATCTATCTGAAGGCAGATCCAAGCTTCAACGGGAGAATCACCATCCCCCTGCTGTGGGATCAACGCCAGGGTAAATAAGTTTGAAGGTTGGAGAAATAGATTGTGGGTTAACATCGTTTAGGTACTGCCGTCAACAACGATAGCGCCGACATCATCCGCATCCTGTTCGACGCATTCGACCCTCTCCTTCCTCCGGAGCGTCGCGAGGTCAACAAGGGCGTGGCTGCCTTCAGACCCCCGCATATTCTGAAAGAGATGGATTGCCTTCTCTTATGGGTATTCGACACGATTAACAACGGCGTGTACAAGGTCGGCTTCGCGACATCGCAGGCATCCTATGATGAACATGTCAGCAAGCTCTTCCAGTCGCTGGACCGTCTGGAGGATCATCTTTCACAACCCAAGCACTACCCCTACCTTTTTGGGCAACATATCACCGAGGCCGACGTTCGCTTATACACAACGCTCATCCGCTTCGACGTGGCGTACTATCCCTTCTTCAAATGCAACTTGAAGATGATACGTTTGGACTATCCGCGTCTTCACGCGTGGTTGAGACGCCTTTATTGGAGCGATGGGCCTGAAACAAATGGTGGCGCTTTCCGGACCACCACCCATTTCGATAGGGTATGAGGGGAGATCAGAAATGTCGCGGGATCATCGCTAACTTCATCAGATCAAAGAAGGATACGCATCTGTGACTGCCAGTAGAGGCGTTGTACCGATTTGCCCGATGCCTCCAATCATGCCCTTGTAACGACCGTATGTTTGTAATAGCGGCGCTTTTCCCACTTCCCCATTCAAATATCCAGCGCGGTATTCTGACTGCATCGACACGCCACGATTTACGTTTGTTCTGCAGCTTTCATCACTATTCCGGCCTGACCGAGATCTTTGCGCCTACATACCCATTATGCTATCTTTTCCAGCTTACACTGAACTATCCTCTGCCTTGCGCGAGATTCATCACCTGATTCAATCTGCCTGTCCGTAATGTTGCGATGTCTCATTTTGCTGGCTTACACACGTCCAAAACCTGCCTCCGTGACAAGTACCCAGGCGCCTACGTTACAGCGAAAGTGCGAAAAAAGAAAGTGCATAAGCAGGCTTGAGGAATACGTGGAGATTTCTGTAAAGCATTCGCCTAGGCAGAATAACTGTGAGAACCTCGGCGCTATTGTATTATACTCCTCCCCGCAACATGAGAACCCCTTGTAGTTGGCTATGATCGAAGTCAGGAAAAGATTGAAGAGATTTTGATGCATTAACCTGGCTAGCCCTAGAGCCTAAACCAGTCAATGTCCCCAAGATCCACCTCTTCAACCTCCTTTGCTTTCCACATCCGTGCCCGCCTTGCCACCGCCTCTGGATGTTCCGGTGGCGCGACTTCGGGCCCCGATTCTGCCGGCCTCCAGCATCTTCCGGTCGGATGCTCATGAAATTTGCAGCGGTTGTTGAGCATGAAGTCGTCCCAGATATCGTAGTAGCGCACTCCTTTGGGGAATGTCTTTATCTGTTCGTGGACGTGGTGCAAAAATTGCTTGTTTGTTCTGGCCAAGATGGAGTTGAAGCATCCGGGATCCGTGCTCAGCGCGATATGAAAGGCGAGAAGGCGTTCCAGGTTGGAATTAGGCACGTTCTCCACCGCTTTGAAGACGCCATGAAACAAGCCTATATCAGAGCCTGTTTGCGCGTCGAAATTCTCAGCTAGTGCATCCATGATGGCGTCGCGAAAGTCGGCGCACCGCGCGCGGCTCATTTCAAGGCCGAATCGATAGGCGGCCAGCATCGTTTTGGTGTCAAGATTTATTTCGGTATAACCTGGTTGTATTGTCGCAATCTTACCGGTTTCACACCAATGCTCGTATACAGATCTGACTGAGAGAGGCTGCAATAGTTGGCTTGCCGGGACTCGGATAACTGGGAAGTATCTTCCGGGCTCACGGTGTCGGTCGGGACCGCAATGTTCTATTGATTGTCTGTAGAACTCTTGTGTTTCTGCGTCCTCTTCTGGGAAGCAATCCCAGTAGCATTCTCGATCGACAATTATGGCGTTGTCTGACGGGGCTTTGATGTCGGCCATGGATGGGTGTGTGTTTGTGTATTGCATGTTGGGTAAAGAATTGAGTGAAGCCTTGTGAAGACTGGAGTGAGGTATATATATACATTCGGCAGTATATTATACTTGCGGTTTCTCTCATGGGTGAGAGTATCTTTTCGTCTGGGTCGTCGATGTTGCGGAAGTTGTAAGTGGCTCGTTTCGCTCTGCGTCATCGCAATACCATGGGACATATACACTCGCATTCGCTATGATCTGTGCTCGGACTAGGTGGCGTACCCAATCAACTGCGTTATAGTAAGCGATAATTGTAGGATCCATGGATTGATTCGCTTGTTGCGGGTACGCTACCACTATCACTATTCAGCTCTTGTGTTAACGATACTTCTCTTTTCGAGAGGACCTAATTAGATAGGTACATATAGATTTCGGAAGTTGTAGTTAGCTTGTTGCGATAGGTTATTAGAAGTACGAAGACAGTGACTAATTATTCGGCCCTCTCAACTCTTCCCGGACACGAGAAGAAACAGTCACCTCGGTTCTCTTTGTAATAGCAGCGACATCGCCCATTATGAATTCCTCGCTTCCTCTCTCAAAAGGCCCAGACACATGCGTCGCTTGATGAACACCGCTCCCAAGTGGAATAGAACCTTGCCTGGTACTACGTCTCGACCTCAGGGCGTACAAAGATTTCGATCTTGTTGCCGAGTTCCCATATGAGCTCTTTTGTGTCTTCTCAACAAATGACTTGAAGAGGGGTGCTAGCGTCGGCACCGACGCGACGATGATACCCAAATTGTTCTCAACAGTCGACCACATAATGAGACTGCTAGAGTCGAGATAGTTGGCGAGGTTTCGAACGGTTCGGATGCGTAGGACTTGGATGATCGTGATGAATGTGCCTAGGGCCAGGAGGCACAGCAGGGCGACTTTCTTGCGCTTTTGGATGTGGCTCTTGAGGAGGACGGGGAAGGGTAGGAACATGCTGTCGAGGTAAGCTTTTGCTGGCGTTTGAAAAAGAGGTACTTACACTACTATGTCGAAGACGATGGTCAAAGATGCCATGCTGGTGTAGAAGGGCACGGCTGGCAGGCACTGGCCCCAGGTGATGGAAGGGTCCCATTGTTTCGCGGCCGGCTGGCAGAGGTTCGTTTGCACGACCAGGAAACAGAGGTGAAAGAGTATGCATGCGACTATTACGGTGATGGTAGCGTTGCGCGACGCGCCTTTTGGCATGATTCGTAGATAGGTCAGCAGCAAACTAAGTTTGAAGCCCAGTATACTGGTGATGTAGCTGTTACGGATGTCAGAGAGGCGTATTATGGTCGTGTCGCAATTATTGTCTTACAATGGTGCACCCATGTACTGTATCTAGTCCTGTCAGGATTGCAATGTGTTCACTTGTGCGGGTGAGACTTACAAGTCCAAAGTTGAAGAGATTTTCATCGGGCATATCCTTCAGATGCTTGAGTCCAAGTCCCCATTTGGTTTCTGGTATCGCATCATCAGTCTCGATATCACAGCACCTGTGCAGCCAACGTACGGATGATAGTTACGACAGCGAAGCCACAAGATGCTATCTGCGCGACTGTCAGTCCCATAGCTACAGGAGGGACCCGAATTGCTCACCCAAGTCACAACTAGTATCCAGTCATCTAGCGATGATAGATGCGTTAGCTATGTGGCGTGGAAAAGCTGGGTGCCACGTTACTTACCGGCTCCAATGGCTTTGGTTATGCATCCGCGCACATAGAAACGAAGGGTCAGAACCAACAGTGACACTGCTGTGAAAACGATTGCGATTGCGGTAATATGTGGCCCCTCGTTGGCGATATCATCGGGAGTGTTGTAGGTCCAGCCCATCGTACTGGCTTGCTCACGGCGGTTTCGTTCAGAATAGGGATTGAATAGTACTTTGCACAGGTTAAAAACCGAACAAGCCTGAAGCCTACGTTAGGACGGCAATGCGCAAATAAGAGGATGTAGCGTCAATGTAGGTCTCAGGGTGTTCAGTTCCCCCTTGATTGAGGTGGTAGACTTTTCGCCTTTGGGAGAGAACACATCAGAATACTAGGCATTGCGATTCAGCGTCTACACAGTTCCGACCGTTCCCAGCGTATTGGCAGTCCAAGAGGACGAAACCGCGTAGGATTCAGCGCGGCCCTTACCCGGTCTATCATAACCCCGTCAGGAAAGCATGCCTTGATCGATAGCAACGGAGACTCTCATACGAGGTGAAACCTGTAAATATTCCCAGTATTGTCCGAAGTTATAGTAGCCTAACAGCTAACGCACATGGTTGCAATGCAGCCCAAGTGTTGGCCGACAGAAGAGACCTTCTTCTTGAAGCTAGACCAAATAATACCAAGGTATATTGGTAACGGTAACGGGAAACGGCTTCGGCACTGCTCGGTGAGATATCTCCTAATTTTAAGGGTCTAGAAAGACGATATGGGACGATTGCATCTCGCCTGGAGAGCCGCCGACCCGCCCTCGCGGTGGACGTGCTCGGCTGCATCGGAGGTTTCTGAATGTAGCAAAGCCGTGCGCGATCCCTGTTGATAGATGCCGAAGGTCCAGTACAAGCCCCAGCTTCCAATTGATGGCAAAGTCGCCGTCCCGCACCAGCACCGCGACTCCGACGATACGACAGCTATCCATCAATCGCTTGTTCATGGTGAGGCGCACTCTCCTTCAACAATCTGTGGTCCTCTGCATATCACTGTCAGAGGTCTTTTTCGCGTAGACTCAGATCCAAGGCAATCGGCGCCACGGCCACAAAACGGGGTCGCGGTATCACCCCGGGACGGTCCACCCCACCGGACACTAGATTTGTAGTCCCACAACTGCTCTAGCTTGCTCGCCACTGTCAAGCGCGGCGCATGCAGGGAGCCTGAATTTCTGTTTATATTAATCCGTTTGTCTGGGAGATTGATTTTTTCCAGGTCGCAGAACTTTATCTTTTTCTATGCCCTGGAAATGCGTTCCTACATCCCAGTCCTCGCGCTTCTTGGCGTTGTTTCTGCTAACCCAACCCCCAATCAATGCAAATCGTTCCCAGGAGACAAGTCATGGCCTTCGCAAGCAGAGTGGAACAGCTTGAACAAGACAGTAGGCGGACGTCTAGTGGCAACCGTACCACTCGGAGCTCCCTGCCACGTTCCGACTTTCGACGACGCGACTTGTGAAAGTCTGAAGAAGGATTGGCAGTTTGAGAAGATTCAGTAAGTTCCACACATGTGCTTTGAAGACGTCACTCTAACCTTTAGTCAGTTATGAATCGTCTTCATCCGTAATGGCACCTTTCTTTGCCAACCAGAGCTGCGATCCCTTCCAACCTCGAGACCGCCCATGTGAGCTCGGGAACTACGTCCGTTACGCCGTGGATGCGTCCGGGCCTGCAGACGTCCAACGAGCGATCGCGTTTGCTGCCTCCAAGAACATTCGTCTCGTCATCCGCAACACGGGCCATGATTATCTCGGTCGTTCCACAGGCGCGGGCTCACTAGCGGTGTGGACACACCATCTCAAGGAAATCACCCATGTTCCGACGTTCATGGGTTCAGAATACAATGGCCCGGCTTTTAAGATTGGTGCCGGCGTTCAAGGTTTCGAACTAATGGCTGCTTCCCGAGACAAAGGCTTGGTCGTGGTTGGAGGCGAGTGCCCTACTGTTGGCATCGCTGGCGGTTACACACAGGGTGGTGGACATTCGGCTATCAGTACTAGCTTCGGCCTCGCTGCCGACAACGTACTGAATTGGGAAGTCGTAACAGCAAGCGGGAAGCTTGTCAATGCGAATATGAAGGAAAACGCGGATCTGTACTGGGCTCTCAACGGCGGCGGTGGCAGCACCTACGGCGTCGTGGTTGGGATGACTGTCAAAGCGCACAAGGAAGCTGTTTTCGGCGGCGCTTCACTGTCGTTCTTCACCACGGACAACGACCAGGACGTGTTCTATGATGCCATCCAAGCGTTCCACGAAGAGCTACCTGCCATGGTAGATGCCGGAGCAATGGTGGTCCATTACTTCACGTCTTCGTTTTTCATGATCTCCCCGCTTAACGCCTACAACAAGACGAAAGCCGAAGTCAAGGCCATGCTTGCGCCTTTCGTCGCTAGGCTGGACTCCAAAGGCGTCAAGTACACCGCTGAATATAGCGAATTCGACACGTACTATGAGCACTACGACAAGTACTTCGGCCCCCTTCCTCTCGGCAACATCCAGGTCGGCATCGCCCAGTACGGTACTCGCTTGATCCCAAGAAGTGTTGTGGGCAACATCTCCGAAACCTGGAAGGCTGTCGTAGAGAAGGGAGTGACCTGGATTGGAGTCGGTACAGATGTGAAGGCGTTTGGTTCGGAGAAAACAACGTCGGTCCACCCGGCGTGGCGCAAGGCAATCGTGCACGCGACCTTGACACTTCCATGGAACTTCACAGCTCCGTGGTCGGAAGCGTTCGCAACTCAGGACAAGATGACGAACGAAATCATTCCTCTTGTTGAGGCTGCAACACCTGGTAGCGGATCGTACGTGAACGAGGCCGATTTCCGTCAACCGAATTTCCAGGATACGTTCTGGGGCCAGAACTACGCCAGGTTGTTGACGATCAAGAAGAAATGGGATCCTTCAAGTCTATTCTACGCCACTGTCGGCGTTGGCAGCGAAGCCTGGACTGTTCGAACTGACGGCCGCATGTGCCGCGCCTTCTAGCTAGTTCCTGTCCTGTGTTAATATGAAAGCCTGCACACAAATTGCGTTGTCCATCTGATACTAACCTTTGACTGATGAGCAGGTCATCATCGACCTCGCGTGTGGAACGACCATCGTCGGCTCATGCCTTGCATCACGATGGATCGAATGATTCAACAGCCGTTACGATAGAAGTCGTATCCAGAACGCCGGTAGTACGCGATGTGCAATTGAAAACATGGCAAGGTCGTCGCGCGTCCTGAACGCGTCCAATTCAGGTTCTCGAGTGGGGAAGCTAGCGTCAATGACGTACACCAGGGGATACCCTGCAGCCGCCACAACTTTGAGAAAACCAACTAACAATCATGCCTCCGAAAAAGTTGAACAAAGATGGGGGCAAGAAAGATGAAGAGAACAAAGAGTCTAACAAGCCCGCCGTTTCCGAAGAAGAGGTGCGGCAAGAATCTGGGAAAGCCGCCAATGCTGCCCTCGCCGCGCAAAAGAAAGCCAAAGAATTGAAGGATGCAGCAGCTGCGGCCAGCGATCCGGACGAACGGGAAAGGTTGACAGAAGAAGCTACAAATGCACACATCGAGGCTGAGTCGTTCGGAAAGACCGCAAGATATCTCCGTTCGGGTGCTTTTCAGGGCATGGCAATGGGCACAGGCCTTGGTGTCGCGCCTGGTGCCACTCTAGGCGCAATCACCGGGACTTTGGTTGGCGGCATCTCTTCAACTCTGCTTGGTGGGATAGGAGCTGGAGTAGGTGGAGCGACAGGTGCGCTTCACGGCCCATGGGTGAACATGGGCAAAGTAGCAGGGAAGGGAATGAAGAAGCTCACTAGTTTCCTCCCGCAATGGGCAGCGAGCGAAGAGCAAAAGAAGACACTGGAGAAGATGATGGGACAAGCTAACGAGGAAGAGATGCCCGGAACTGAAGAGCTTGAGAAGTTCAAGAGTGAGGGAGGTGGAGGTCAGATTGACGAGGGTTGGATGGAGAGTGCGAAGGGCATGATGCCAGATCAGAAAGAGGTGTCAGACGCTGCGAAGGCTGGTGCGCAAGCTACGGGCGGAGATTCGGACTCGAAGCCCAGTGCGAATCAGTCTGAAGAGCCACCAAGCGGAGATTCAGCACAAAAGAGCGACACTCAAGGTCGCAAGAAGCCACGGAAGCTGAATGCGAAGCAAGATGACAGCGAACCACAATCAGTCGAGACGGACAGTATGCGTAATGATGCTGGTGGAGCATCTAACGCAAGCGAGAAACCCGATACACAAAACGCGGATAACCAGAATGACCGGGAAAAGAAACTCGACCAACGAGAGAGTGATCTTGATCAGCGACAGGCAAAGCTAGACGAAAGAGAAAAGGCCCTGGCTCAGCGTGAGAATGAACTGGATTCAAAGCCTGACGGTGATGCCACGGAGTCTACTTCAGCGCCGAAACCCAAAGGTCAACCGCGCAAGCTCGCAAGTAGATCGTAGATCTTTAGGGTACGCTAGACAAAGGTCTGAGCTCTAAGTTATCCTATCGACCGTATGGCATTCTGCAATTTGATTCATCGCTGCTATGACTGGGTTGCTAGGGCCATAGTGATGTTTAGCAAGTTGACGATTAGTCGGCACGGGTCGCTTCAACCACGGGCGTCAGTATACGAGAACCAGAGTCTTTCGATTACACCAAGCTATAATATTTGCATCAAATCTTTCTTGCATCTTTTGCATTCGAACACCTCTCATTTCTGCTTCCAAACACCCTCAAGCTTTTTCGAGCTATATACAACGACAATGTCGCGCCTGCCGTCTCCCGGTCCCGATACCTTCAGGTTTCTCGACCTTCCAGCCGAACTCCGGCTCATGGTATACGAGCACATCCCGAACGAAGTCTTCCGCCACGAATGTCGAGAGATCTTTGCTACAAAAAAGCCCGGCTTGTCTCTTCAGATCGCTCAAGTGGGAATTGCCCTCCTCAGTACGTGTCGGCAAATACACATGGAGGCCATCGAGATCATAAAGAGAAAACAAGCACTCGCAGCCTCAATACCCATTCACATTGCGCTGACAAGATGGGACGAGCGCATTCTCAAGATCTTATACATCTTTTACCGGAAAATATACATCGCACGCAGGAATTTGATCGGATCAACGTCGATTTATGCGAAACTTAACTTACCTGGTAACGAACCTCTCTTGTCTACCTTCAAAAGACTAATACGAGGACTTCCGAATGTTGAGTTCGTTCTTGATTTCCCGGATATGGACTTGTATGCCGCAGACCTGCTGTCAGAAATAGCATGTTACGGTTGTTTCGACTTCCGCACTACCGTCCGTGTACCGCCTGGTTTGATTTCAACGACAGTGTTCAATTATTTCCAAGGCATCCGAGGCCTGGTTGTCATATGGGATGAATCAAAAGACTGACTCATGGATGGGGGGTATCGTGGAAGACTTAGTTGCACGCTTGGGTTAATGGGTCGGAGAAGTTGCAATTCATTTGGAGATTGCTAGTCTACCTGCAGGCTGTGGTATGCTTCACGGCTCATAGTATTCGCCTCATTACCTCGTATTAAGAGCTTGTATCTTAATACTCGGCCTCGTGTATTCCTGGTCCCAGTCGGTGGACGATCGCGACTGCACCGTGCGAGCATCGTTACTACCTTGTCACCTTCTGGCAACCACGACAACACCTCGACCCTCGTTTCCCCTCTTACTTTGCGGAAACTGCATGCTGCCATGGTTGCTTATAAGATATCGCGCATCCACCACTTCTACTCTCACTACGCCACACCATTCTTCCGGCGCCGCAGCTCTTACGGTCAAACATCCGATAGCAGGCAGCATCCGATCGCTTACCTCAAGACTGCTATTGTCGCATCGCAATCATGTTCTTGATGTCTACTCTCCTCCTATTACTTCTACCTATCTCACTCTTCGCCAAAACCATACCTCGAGCCGACAACATCGAGATCCACACGAAGCCTACTAAATGCCTCCATTACGTCGGCTTCAGCAGCGAAACGATCACGTTCAAAGACCTGCATGAGAACAACACGTTCGACTACGCCATCGTCACCAAATATACGACCTATTACCCCGCCATCCTGAGCAACGCCTTAGTATCCAAGTACTTCGAGCTTTCCGTACTGAGCAAAGATCAATTATGCGGTTGGACAAAAGCTGCCTCCGTGCATAGGTCACTGGGGCTGGACTTTAACAATCACCGCGGCGACATCTACTGGAAGCACAGCGCTGCCAGCCAGGCAGCTCAAAACTTATACCCCGAGAATGCAATTCGCGCTATCCAAGACATTCTCGAGTACAATGAACCCGCCGGCGACGTCTACATGTTCAGCACCATCATCCTCGCATGGACCACGAGTCTCTTCGGCTACATCCTCCTCATGCTGCTGCTCATGGCCTGCATCAGAAAAGCCGATCGAACCACGAACACGTCAAAGGACAACGAAGTTGACGAGGGCATCGAGCTCGAATCCATCAAAGCACCTGATACAGATACCCTGGCGAGAACCGACTCCGCGGTGGGGCCATTCGAGGACGTCAAATGGGAATACCCCAGCCCTCAGCGTTCTACCGATACGAAGCGGCCCGAACCGCTTCCTATGTACTCGCTTTGGGGATCTGGTCGTGCGGTGGCTTGATACAAGGCTACGCTGAGGCTCATGGTGGAACGCGGTTGATTCGCCTTGTAGTTTTTGTTTTCTCATCCCCAGTTTCTTGTGTCGTCGCGTCTGCTGTACCTTGGGTTCACTTTTTATTCGCATGGCGCCAGGCAGATATCTGTTCCATTGTGTCTGAGCATCCTGAACGCTTTGGTTATTGTCAAGCGCACGTCGACTCCGCCTGTTCTCCCGATTCCATCCTCCTGTACCGTCTATAGCATGCGCTTTTGCTTTTTACATAGCCCCCAATGCAAGCCACATCACTTGAAACCCGTCCATTAATCACTGCTGTGCGGACCATCGGAAAACGATATGCACAGCGCCTGATTATAGCATCGCCCCGCTGTGGTGATTCCGGTTCTCCAACTAATCCAGCCTTCTGATTTACGCCCGACTTTAACTGCGGTCGCGTTGAAGTGATACAGTGCATACTCGACCCAAGCTAAAACGCATGTGGGGCTTGGATCGATCTAATTTCCGCCTATGCAGTCATTGTTACACGGAAGAAACATTGGGGGCTAGTGGCGGTCCCGGACGTCGAGAACGGACCGGTGAGCAACGCGTTACTCGGTAAGGCGGCCAAGCAAGTCGTGGAATTCCTGTTGTACGTCACCAAGAGGGCGGAAATAAGCACAGTGTTACGGTACACCAACTGCTGACAGTCTAGTAACGTTGGTAAGGCTGTATGCCGATATCAAATCGCTGGTATGGGGTGTAGATGATTTATTTAGTATGTTGAGCGAGAAGACGTAATGTCATGTGGAATATGCTACAAGGAAGGCGATGACAATAAACTACGATCGCTGACAACAAGTAAAAAGGCACATTTGCACTAGATTTATGCGTCCTCCGAGCGTGCCCAACAACATATCGCTCTCATGAAGATCCTCAGAGTTACATCTCGTACCTCGCCGGCGCTGCCCCATCGGTCGGCGGTTTATGTGCGTGCTGTGGATCCAACTCCACTAAGCTCTCCGGTGGTGCCTCGTTAAGAGGAGGACCGTAGTAACCGGAGCTGTTGTTGAATGGTAGAGGATTAGGCCCGTTCTTGTACTGTTCAGCGATCTGTGTGCCGGGCATCGGTGACGGGGTGACGTCTTTCTTTCTGTGACGACGGAAGAGGAGGAAACCAACGACGAGGCCGATTATGAGTGCGACAGGTATCCCGACGCCGATGCCGATTTTGGCTGATGTGGGAAAGCTGTTCTCGCGCGGTGCCGCGCTGGATATTGGTACGGGTGCGGGTGTGGATGGTGGTGTTGTCGTTGGTGCGCTAGTAGGTGTCGAGTTTGCAGTGGCGGAGGATGGGGAACTCGCGGTAGATGCTGCGCTCAGTGAGGTGGAAGGCAAAAGCGACGAGGAAGATCTTGTTGTCGATTCGGCTTTGTCTTCAAGATAGAAATACCGGCTGAAGTCTGCTGGTACCGTTGCGCCCTCTCGGTAGAGCGCCAATTGGAACAGGTTGGACAATTTGAGGTTGATCTCAGGCCTGATAATCCATTCTTGGTTGGTCCTGTTTACTACACTCTCTATCATATATTGTTAGCCCGTGGTTTCCTAACTTTTGAAAGTGCTTGCTATACGTAAAATGTATTCTACGTTCTTAATCGACACGCCAGTCTCCGGATCTGCTTGCCACAGAATAATAGAGACTGCAGTACCGGCCGGCGCCTCTGTCCAATATACCGTAATCTTTTCGCCTATAGTGTAGTTGAGCGCATTGCTGATGTCCAGTGCGGTATCAAGCGATGGCGGGAGGATAAATTCCATGGGCGCTGGGACATGGACAAAGGTCCAACTATAGTAGCCCAAGATCCGACTAGAGCACGACCAAAAGAAGAACACGTCTGCTGGAAGATGAAAAGATGGTAGAAAGAACTTCGGGTCTGAAAACGTCTGTAAGCTTCAAGCGAGTGAAGAACAGGCTACCCAGAACGAGGTAAGCACCTAAGGTTGAAGCAGGCGAAGTGTCGGAGCGGTACCTCAAGCAGTCGACGAGAGTCTGAGATTGCGCCTGTGCAGTGACGCCTGAGGCTTACGAAATGACAGTCACGACGGCAGCCTGGAAGTGCTGGGCGATTAGAGTGGTCTGTGGCGTGGTGCGCTTTTCCCATACCAAGACGAGTCTGTCATGGCTAGAAGCGTGGCGCTGGAGGTCATCGGTCTGCGCACGAGAACTCCTGTTGATCAGCGTTGGAACTGTTATCTCGTGCATGCGGCTGAGCTTGGGATGTGCCTCTCAAACCACGTGTCACGGACGATGATTGTTACCTGTCGTTGGTACCGATCGTTCACTGGTCTTCATCGCCATCCCTCATGAATCATTACCCTGGAGGGTTTACAATCGGGCTGAGACATATCATACCCTTTCCATCATTGGATGACAGGACACAACCTCACCAGCCGTCTGGGGCCAAGACCTGTCGTGGCCTTAAGTATCTGCATGTATACGCACCGCGGGGCGTAAGGCTGCGGATCCCCGAAATGAGCAACGGATCTTGGTAGCCAGTAAAACCTCCGTCTTTGGTTGAGGAATGCGGATTCTTTGTTGCGCACGTGGCTGAATATGCTGTACTACCTCTTTGACACCGAAGGTTTTCGTGGGGTCCATGGCATTGGGTCATCCGCGCCATTTATTTCCGGAACTGTCAAGGATTGTCTAAGACAAAGCCTAGATTTGCGTTGGTGTCTAGACTGCAAAGACTCAAATGTCAGCGGTCGTGATTCAGCCTCATGAAGATCGATGTGGATGATGAAGCATCTACATCCGCTCTGCTTAGACACATTACAGCAAGCTTTCGTTCGGCATTCTGCTCATCCAGTATGTTAGCAAGGCTGCAATTCAAGTTCGTCAGCTATCAGTCGCTCTTTGCCTTGTGCGTCCTTCTTCTCATATACCAGATCTACACCATCCGCTCCGCCCACGATGACATCGCCCTGCCCATCGAGGAAACCGTCCAAGCACCTAAGTATGAAGGCATACCGAGGGTAATATGGTACAAGCTGGGTCCTCGTGGCCTCTCAGAAGAAGCCCGAAACTGGACTGATAGCTGCATCACGTCCAACCCAGGGTACGAAGCGCACTTCATGACGGACGAAAGCAGCGACGAATATGTCCGAACCGCCTTCGCATCGAGGCCAGATATCGTCAACAACTACCTTGCGCTTCCAGTGCCTATATGGAAGGCAGATCTGCTTCGCTACTTGTTGCTCTGGGATCAAGGTGGCATCTGGTTCGATCTCGATGTCTCCTGCGAGAACATACCCATCGACGACTGGATTCCACCGGAGTACAAAGCGAACACAAGTCTGGTTGTGGGCTGGGAATTCGACCATGGGTGGCCAGACAATTACTTGCACCAGATGGAGATATGGGCCATCATGGCAAAGCCCCGGTCACCGCATCTGATGCAGGCGATAGATGACGTTTTGGAAGAGCTGGCTAAGAAGGCCGCCGAACATGGCGTAGCCGTCGAAGACACTACCATGGAGATGATGGGAGATGTAGTCGACTTCACAGGCCCAAGGCGTCTGACGTATGCGGTATACAAGAGTCTGGGTGCCATGGTGAACCGCAACCTGGCGGGAAGTGACGTCGAGAAGCTTCTGCAGCCCAGGCTAGTCGGAGATGTGCTGTTCATGCCCGGTCGCTCTTTTGCGCCGATGACGAACAGATACAGCGCTGAAGAGGAAGCTGTACTATCACCACAGTTAGTGACGCATCATTACGCTGGAACGTGGAAGAACAGCCACGGCGGCGAGCGTTGAACGGCCAATTCGAATCATACTCCAGAGTCGCGTCGTTCTGTTGTCGGCTCAGGCCAGGTGTTGTGTCCGCCAACGCTATCAACGACGGTCGCTAATAGGCAACGATCCGTAACATCGATGCGCGTGTGAGGAGGGCGCAGGAGCTTCATCAAAGGTCGATGCCGCAGCCCTGGTTTCCAGCCCCCCGGGCCAGCGCTTGAGGGATCTTACGATCTAGCGCGAGCTAGCATGAATGCAGCTAGGCCAGAACCTCATGCGTGCTGCTCTACCTGGGTATCACTACGATACTCACTGTCTTCATTGTGAACTGGTTATGAAGAATGTAATGTGATTTCATGGGATTAGCTACAGTAGCATCAAAATCAGTTCAGAAATACAATCTCCCAGAAACCCACCTTCGTGACCCCTCGCTCAAAAAATCCAATTGCTGCCACGAACCTGTCCCGCATCTCCATCCACTGCGTAATGAGAGCGGGCTCACAGTAGAGCTCGATTTTCTTCACCTCGTTCAGCTTGGGAAGGTCGTGCAAGGCACCAAGCCAGTCGCCACACTCTTTGTGAAGATTTCTGGAGATTCCTGCGTCTTGGTCTGAAGCGTCAATATTGGAACCTACTTGAAGCCTGATGACGGCATCGGCGATGAAGCCTCTCTGCCTCGCAAAGTCACGTAACCCGGACGGACTATCAAACTGGCGGGCTTGGGTAGGAACTTGCGAGCTTTGTCCAGCCATGATAGGTTGATGTGATGAAGGTTCGGTGAGACGCTGAAGAAGGGGTGATGTGGGTATTTATGTATAGTCGATATGATTGCTGTCTTTACCGGCTGATATGATCACCGCGGTCTGAAGCCACGTGATGTTCGTTGTAGCAAATTCAAGGCTCCTGATCGCCGAACGGATAGTTAAACTTCAAGAGAGCATTCAGTCCACCGACCCAGTGGTCCTCAGCCATGTCTTCCTTGCCACTTGTGCCACGCACGATGCTGGGTACGCCACCCTCCCAGCCACGAGCGTCCCGCTTGACCTCTTCTCCACCTATGCGGACTTCCATACCCGTGCCCAGTTTCTCTGTAATGGTATTACCGTCGATGCTGACCTCGACTTCGCGACCACGATTCTTCTTGCCTAGCCGCAGTGTGATTGGCGTCTGAGCTGGCAGCACCAGTGGTCTGAAGGAAAGCGATCGAGGGCAGATAGGCGTGAGGCATATCGACGGGACGAGGGGGTGTACGATGCTTCCTCCAGAGGACAACGAGTATGCCGTGGATCCAGTAGGCGAGCTAATGATCATGCCATCAGCGACTGCCTCGGTCAGGAACCGGTTGTTGATGTAGACGTCGATGATCTTCAGGTGCGGGCTGGAGCCGCGGTGGAGCGTGACCTCGTTCAGCGCGTAGGTGTCGCCCTCACCTTCGATGCCACTGATTCTCTTTCCATCAGGCCCGAATACGCCCACCTTCAGCCTGTTGCGCAACAAGATGCGCGCCGTTCTGTTGCTTCCCATAGCCTTGCCTCGTATGTCGGCGTAGCTCAGTGGCTTGTCCAGAGGGTCATCGGGCGATGTGGGTGGTGTGGGTGGAATCGTCCCGTGCGAGTCGGAGAGGGTAGCGTACGTGTCTGGCGCGCCGCTCATGTACACCTCCCGAAACGCTCTCTTGTATTCCCTGAACTTGAACTCGCCCAAGAAGCCGATGGTGCCCATGGCGAAGCTCAGTACAGGAGGGACATTCTCTGCATGGCTGAACAGGCTACTAGCCCTCAGCAGCGTGCCGTCGCCTCCCAGCGTGCAGACCAAGTCGGTTTTATCCGAAAGGTACTGCGGTGCACCCTGCCTCTGCTTGTATGTGTATACCGGAAACGCAAGCTGCTCGTGAAGCTCTTGGGCAGTCTCGGGATCGAAGATGACGTTTATCGACGGGTAGGTGGAGCGTATGTGGGACGTGAATTCTATCACGGACTCGGTGATGTTTGGTGTGCGCTTCTTCTTGGTGACGAGGATGTTGCGCGGTGGGGACGGCCATTGCAGGCTCAGCAGGGTATTCGAGGGCGACTGTATGTATGACGGCGTCGTGCGCGAAGGAAGCTCCGAAATCTGCCTTATCTCAAGACGTCGTGAAGACGAAGAGAAACTCCGTGCCTGGGCCGGCAGAGCCAGGAGGCGCCATGGCAAGACGCGATGGGGTACAAACATGTTTAGAGGGTAGGAGGCTAGGGCCAAAATGCTAGGCGAAGCTGTGCGCAGAGCTTGGAGGGGTGAGTGGGCGCCATATGAGCGGGTGATGACGAGTCGAACCGTGGTAGGATGGCGCCTGGTGGCATCGCATGCCAGACGGCGAGGAGTGAATGCTAAGGCGCGGAGATAGTCCAGGCGCAGCGACTAAACTCCATAATCACATGCAGCGGTGGAACATTTGAAGAGGTGAAAGTTGCGAGTGAACGCGTCCGGATATGACTAGCGCCCGCTCCAGGCCAGCTAACGGGTGGGGTGAACCGCCGTGCTGTCATCATGCTCGAGGGAAAGCTGCGGATCGGCAGCACCAAGTTCCAGCGCCCGGAGACACGATGCGCGAAAGCTGCGGCCTGATTACTCCCTCTGCTCTTCCACACCACGCCCGCACGCCCATTCACCCCCAGGCGCCCAATGCAGACGGCAGCGCGCTGTCCCACTCTCCCCCGCCGCATGTCTGGGCCGTATCCGTAGTTCCCTCGTCCGCCTGAGCATCCGCCTACGCCCGCCTGCGTGCACGCGCACTCACACTCTCTCTATCGTATTCCTCAGACGTGCCTACATACTCCCCATGCTTTCCCACACCACGAGCATCATGTCCACGACAGACATCCGGCAGCGCAAGCCGCCCGCATCGGTGCCCGTCATCGAGAAGCTGAAGGCGCAGCGCACCAAGACACCCTCCGCGCCAAACCTCCCCGATCCAACCCAACACCCAGCCGGCAAGGTCAAACATGGGCCTGTTGTGCAGTTTCTGCGCATGTGTCTCTTTGCAGCGTACTTCAACGGCAGCATCATAGCGTTCGTATACACTCAAGGCTAATACCACACATAGGATACTAACGTCATGTCTCAGCATCGCCATCACCCAATACATCGGCCTGCCGCTCTACTTCTACAGCAAGGACCTCTTCTACGCGTGGATGGCCATGACCAAGCAGCACTTTAGCATGACCGTCACCACCATGACGTACTGGTGGGCGCCCGTCACCATGCGCGTCAGTGGAGACGAGAGCATAAGAGGACAGATGAGGAAGAAGGAGGATGGACTGCTCGAATGCGACTTTCCAGAAAGGCTGGTATTCGTCTCGAACCACCAGGTACGGTCATCCAGGCAACGTCTTGTAGAACAATGAGCTAACACCTACTAGATCTACACTGACTGGGTCTACCTCTGGTGGATGGCATACAGCGCGTCCATGCACGGCCACCTCTACATCATCCTCAAGGAGTCGCTCAAATACATCCCAATCCTCGGCTGGGGCATGAGGCTCTTCGGCTTCATCTTCCTATCCCGCAAGTGGTCCACGGACAAGGAGCGCTTCCAACATAGGCTGAGGAAGCTGAGCAGAAGTCACGATGGCCCACTGTCTGGCTCCAAGGGTCTCGATCCCATGTGGCTTCTCATCTTCCCCGAGGGCACGAATCTTAGCAAGAACGGTCGCGCCTCGAGCAAGAAATGGGCAGAAAAGAACCAGATTGAGGACCTAAGACACGCACTGTTACCGCGAAGTACAGGGCTTTCCTTCTGTCTGCAAGAGCTGCAAGGCTCCGTAGACTACCTCTACGACTGCACAATGGCATATGAGGGCGTTCCGTAAGTCTAGCCTACTATCCAGATTCTTCAGATACTAACACACAACAGCGCCGGCCAATACGGCCAAGACCTCTTCACCCTCTACAGTACCTACTTCCAAGGACGCCCCCCAAAGTCCGTAAACCTGTACTGGCGCCGCTTCGCCGTCGCCGACATTCCCCTTCACGACGACAAGCTCTTCAGCGACTGGCTCCTTGCCCGATGGCGCGAAAAGGACGACCTGCTCCAATACTTCCTCGAAAACCAGCGTTTCCCAGCCGACGAGGGTGAGACACCAAACGTCAACGGCGGGCCATCGCTCAAGGGCGCTGGCTGGATCGAGACAGACGTCCGACCGAAGCTGTGGTACGAGTGGCTACAAATCCTCGTCCCGAGCGCCGCGCTTGCGCTCGTGGTGAATGTATTCCTCAAGATTGCGAATCTTGTAACGAAAGTGACGGGAGCAAAGTCATGAAATCAGGAAACTCCTTGATTGGCGGCAAACATGTTGTTTCGCAGTGTCTGGCGCGTGGTCGTTTGTGTTATGTAGATCGGCTTTGATACCCTATATTCATCTCTTCTCTGTCCATCAAATGAGGGTGTACCTCGTGGTACTCACGTAATCCTTCTTCGGGCCCTTGACATCGTATCGCACTTCCCACCACACATCCTCCGTGTCCCCGTTGACAACACCTGGTCCGAATGTCCAACTAGCCGTATACAAGTCCTCGGCACAAAGATGCGTTTCCTTGTTCTTGGCTTTCACCTCCTTTCCACTCGTCTGCAGATCACCCATGTCGACGAAGGATCCCCCGACCCCTTCCCCGTTCTTCCCCACGCCATCCTCGATGTCCGCGCGCGGCATCTTTTCATCGTCGAAGAAACGGACGGCGATGTAGTCGCCTGCTTTCTCGCCTGTGCTTTCCGGTGTCGACGTTTTGAGTTGGTACACGTATTTCCTGCGTGCGTTGAACTTGAGACCCGCGTCTGTGGCAAACTCGCCTTCTTCGGCGTAGAGCAGAGTTGGTGGAAAGGAGGCTGGTAGGTCGCAGGACGTGAACGTCGCTGTTCCTGTCACTGTGCCCGAGGGATGGGTCGGCAGGGTAGAGCGGAGTTGACGGGTGAAGCTCCATGGTTTATCGGGGGAGTTGCGTAGGTTTTCAAAGATTGAAGTAGGCAACGAAGGAGAGCTGGGCTTCGGCTTTTCGGTCTCGGAAGAGTCGTCTGTTTGTGATTCTTGTGGTAGGGGTCTTGTTTCTCGGATTGGTATTGAGGTGGTGATGCCAGTGTTCGTGCCGTTGCTTTTGGTTTGCAAGAAAGCTTTTGGGTCTTGGCTTTCTAGCAGGATGGCATTGACGCTTTGGAGCGTGCTTCTACTTGGGTTTAGCGCGGGGTTGCTTGTTGTTATCCAGCTGAGCCTTTGCTTGATGAAGGCTTTTCCGATGGCACTTGTCTCCTTTGGCGTACTCGTATCTATCGCTCCCTCCTCGTTTGTGTAGAGACATAGTACTGCTAAGGCGGTACCGACGGATAGATCCTTGCCTGTTGGGCAGCATATGAGGATCTTTGCGGCTGTTGGTCCTGAAAGGGAAGAGAAGAAATGTAAGATTCGGGGCAGTTGAGTGCGAAGGTCGCGCGAGCCCAGTTTGCCGGTTTGGCATTTGAGGTGCAAGTAGTGTTTGACTCCGGCGTCCTTTAGCATCGAAGGGGCGAAGGGCTCCGGTGTGCAACTAATCACAACTTCGAATCCGTCGAGCTTCATCTGGCCACTAGGAGAGATGTACAGTCTGGACGTTGGCTTGATCAGACTTGCGACCGCGCTACAACCTCCGTCTTCGTTGAGCAATCTTTCGATCAGAGCTGGTGCATCTTCCTCGCTCGTCTTCATCAGCACGTCCTTGTTCTTCCAGAAGACTGTCGGCGTGAGTCCATGAGACCATGCTTCGTGGTCATCGGCAGCACCCTGGATATACCCGCTTTCCGATGCCTCCGCACCACGTACTCGTCGCGATGCTGTACAGAGCACGATCGGGTGAAAGTCGGGGAAACAAGGCGGACTATCCGGAAGAGATGATTGCTGTGTTACCCAGATTGGTCGCAGGGGCTTTTTCAGCTTACTGCGAAGGTCTACGATGTTAGGTTTGCAGATATCCTTGTCTCGATATCAGCGAATATGTTCGGAAATGCCTAGATAAGACACGCACCAGAAACTGTTGCACAAATCCGTCTATCCGCTTCTCCATTTGTGCATGCTCGCTTTCTCCCACGGCTTGTGGCGGCGTGAACAACCGCATTTCGTCTTTCCCAAGTGTGCCGAATACCGCTCTGTTGATCACACAGCACCATGTCGGGATGGTTTTGCTCAGCGCGTCCGGCATGCTCTTGCCCCTCCTCGTGCTGTCCACAACCACGACGCCGCCAGACTTTTCCACAATATCCAACAGTTGCAGGTTTAGTCTTCTCAGACTGAAGCTCCATTCGCCCATGTGACCGTCCGTGCTCTTGAAGTAGACAGATCCAGACTTTTGGGTTGGTGGAATGTACCAGCTTCCACAACGTTCATTGGCTACAAGAGGTAGATCGTAGGAAGATGCGACTGAACTGACAAAATCGCTGTCGGAGATGATTGAATCAAGGCGATTGTGCGTTGATAGTGTTGAGCGGCGCAGAGAAGAGAGGGTGCTGGATAGATTTGGTGTGTTGGAAAGGTGCGGAAATAAAATGTCGGCTTCTTTCAGAGGTTGAGACATCGTTGTCGTGGGCTCTTCCAGTCTGCCAGGCGCAAAGTTGATAGTGTCTGCGCGGGTGGAAATAGAACGACCATTCACATTTGCATACCCCGCACCATCGCGTACGAAAAAAGGAAAGAAATGTTTTGGAAGGGTCTCAGACAGAGGGAAAAGGTATACGTAGATCTCAAGGTTATCGAGGCCTATAAATGTGATTGAGCCTTCTATATCGCGTTCAGGAATTGGGGATGCAAGATGGGTGTTCGTGAGGGAATGACCACAATAGCGCTAGTCCAAGAAGGGATTAGGGATAAGGGTTCAGAACAAAATTCGTCCCGAGCGAACATGGTAGGCAGCCTGTGGATACTTTTGTCTACCTATGGTCTTGAATGACTGCTAACATGATGCATCCACCGTCTAGTCTTGTTTAACAAGCGAAACAGGCGCGATGTAACTCTTCCGTGCGCTGACGAAATAGTTGACCGTTGCGATGATAGCCATCGCGCCAAACATGAGCGCCGCCCAGTTCATGTCCGTAGCCGAAGGGTTTGGCACTATCGGGAAGAATGAGAAGATGAAGGAAACGACCAAAAAGGCAAGAGCAAGGTCGTTGACGATGCCTCCAAACTTGCCCAGGCTCCAGCGTCGAGGGAGCAGTGGCTCTCCTCGCCAACGCTTCAAGCGCACACATCCAATCGATATAATGTAGGAGAAGATGAGAGCTGCGTTCGAGATGGAGACGATGGCGTTCAACGTAACGTCCGACCCAAAGTTGATGCATGCGAGCACGAGCGAGGATCCGAGACAAACAAGTAGCGCGTTGACGGGAATGTCCCAGCCGGCTGGCACTCGCTCGATCCATGCAGAGAACGGAAGTCCCCTGTCGCGTGCAAATGCCCAGATCTGGCGCGAAGAAGCAGCAGTAACGGATACGGCTGCAAAGAAGACGAGGATGACGAGAAGAGCACCCATGACCTCAGTGCCGGCGATAGAGCCTGTCGCATTGTAAACGGCCTGGAGTACAGGCTGTCCGGTCGGCGATTCGAGAACCGAATCGAGAGCACCGCCGCACATTACGAACGTAATCATCTAAAATGAGCATATGTAGTCAGTATCTGCTTCTCATCCAAAGTAGCCCAGGCATGCTTACCATGATGCACCCAAAGATGCCGTTGAAGAAAACAGCCCACATCATAGCTTTCGGAAGCACCACTGAGGCGTCCTTCAACTCCTCAGACATGTGTGCGCCCGCGTCTGGACCAATAAAACACCACAATGGGGTTGAGAGGCCAACCAGTGCAGACACGCCCATCGAGCTCCATTCTCCACCGTTTGTCCAAGTGGTGAAAACTTCTTCCGCCGGAAGACGCTCTGCCATGGTCCAGAATAGAATCAGAAACGCGAAGAAGGCAAAGACATGCAAGACTAGCACAACACCTTCAGCGAGGGGAAGGTGCTGCGCCAAGAAGATGTTGAAACCGATCATGAGGAACAGCCAAAGCATCATCAACAGTGTGACATGCCATAGTTCTCCAATCTGGGCGTCAGGGTACGCGAGGAGGACCATTCCGATGACGAGACTCGAAAGCATTTGTGCACAGGCGGGAATCCCGCTGACCCACCCAACAGCCGCAGCCCATCCTGAACATGGTGTCAGTGTGAGACTTTAGTTGTTTAGACCATCCAACTACATACCTACGATGTAACTAAGGGACTTTTGGAATGATGGCGGAGCGAACTCGCTGACCCAATGGTATTGTCCACCGGCAGTTGGGGCCATGGAGGCCATCTCGGCAAGCGACGCAATCATGGCTAGGACGAACACCCATGTGATAATCATCATCCAGATGACTCCTGCTGTGCCTCCATTGAATAGCCCAAAATAAGCTGAACTTTGCTTATACTTAGCAGGGGATAGATCGACACAGCCCTGGAGGAACAAGAACTTACAGTAGAGCACTTTCCCATGTTGACTGTAGGACAACCACGAACCCAATGATGGAAATCAGGCGAAAATTTCTCTAATTGAACACTTAGTAGAGTTCCTGCATATACGTCGCAATAAGGGCTTACCCGGAGTTCTTGTTTCTTGCCCATCCGCTGCATGTCCTCGGCGTCGTGGGCTGTGCCTCCCAGAGCACTAGCATGCATCCTACCCGCTTCGCCGGATCCATTGCTTCCTGTGTCGTACTCCTCGGCATTCACAATCTTCGATTCTCCGACGACTGCCATGGTACAAAGTACGTGACTACAGAACAACGGCCATCAATGGAGGTAAGGGATGTCCTGAAAGAAGAGGGAGGTGCAGTGGGGGAATTCGTCCCAGACGCTGCTTAAGCGATCTAGATGCAAACTCTACAGCCGTTACTATACACGTTGATTGCAAGCCGTGCCTAGAGCTAGGAACTAGCTGCCGTTCTTGGGCCCATCACCGCTTTATGTGGCGTGCCATTGAGATCGTGACAGGCTTTGACGAATCAGCCATGAGTAATTAAGGAGATGGCCTTGGAAGAGCGGCTTGAGACTACGGGGCTCTCAAGCCGTGCGCATTGCGCAAGGACACTAATGCATGATATCCGTGGGGGCCTGTGCAACGTCTTGTGTTGGTTCATGTACACCATAACATGTATCCATAATAAGGCGACTCAAGCGTAAGCTTATCAGGTACTAAAAAGGTTCGATTTGTTGATGCTCTTTGACCGTCGCGCATCATGCTATTGGTGTCGCGAGGCCAAATAGCCGACCGGTGACTCGTTGATGGAGCATGCAGAGGGTATGTGTTATCGAAGGGAACATGGAGAAGGACCCTCCCAGGGCCGTTCCGTGGTCACCATAAACACGCTTCGCCCGGAATCATACAGCCGAGGTGTCTATCGTCCAAGCTTGCTCCGCAGCACCACACACCTCCCGGGGCCCCGAACCGCGCACCAATCAAACCTTGGAACACGTTCGCTGTCACAACCTGCATCTGCGTGCTACCGTGCTTTCATCGTCAAAAAGGCTAGCTACAGGCTGGTGGTGTCGCAGATCGGCGGTCGTAGGAGTCCAGCATGGGCAGGTGCGCAAATCACGCTCCGCTAAAGCGTCGAGAGGTCGAGGAAAGCAACTGTAGGTAGTCTACTTGATCAATCTTAGTTATAAGACCTGATTAGCTGAAGTACAGCAGTCTACGTACGATCAAGTGCCGAGCGGTAAATGCTGCAGTCAGGCACGCTGTTGAGAAGCGATAAGCTCTGGCACGTCACGGGGCTGCCTATTATTGACAAGGTTCAAGGCACCCCGTAATGACCTCTCCGATCTACACCCACTTCAGCGCATGCAATCAGCAACAGGAGGGATGCACCACATTCTAACCAAAGAGCGCTACAAGTTTGGAGGATTTCATGCCTATCGGAACCCAGTCCAGCCATGGGTTAAATGCGGACGGATGGCCCTTGGAGAGCCGCAACACGGTCCACGCGCCTGCTTAAGGGGTGATGTGATACATTTACTGCGCGCAGCACAAAATAGTTCCCAGCTGGTTTCGCCGTTGGACAAACAGCGAAGTTCGAGTCAGGGTACGGTGATAAGATGAGACGGTTGTCCGCGCCGCAGCTTTGGAGACGACGCCACGACCCACACGGGTGTGCTAACGCCCTGCCGTGGGAACTTAAGGCTACCGAGCAGTTCTCGCGTACTTTTCACGAGCAGTATCATGGCAGATCATGACGAGGAAGCAGTCGTACGAGATCCAGGACGTGCAGCTACGTTGAAATTCACCATCGGTCTCTGCTTATGCTACACACTATGTGTAGCATGCCTTCGAGGTTATATTCGATGGAGAGCTTATAGTCTCGATGATCTGATCGTGCTATTATCAGGGGTACGTACATCGCGGTGTATTCATAACAATTTTGAGCACGACAAGAGGACGTTACTGATACTCATGCGAATAGGTATTGGCGCTTAGTTTCTTTGGTGTCGTTTTTGCGTCCATCTCTACTGGACTCGGGCGCCCTATGACCGAGCTGGCTACTCTCTCATCCGCTATCGAGAAACTCAACAACTACGCAACGGCTGGTAACATCCTATGGGTCATATCCCTATGCGTCTCTAAGATTGCCATCGTTGCCATGCTATTGCGCACGACACAGACAAGATTCCACAGAAGATTCCAGTACGGCGTAAGCGCCATAATCGTCGCTCAATGTCTCACATCCGTCCTCCTTCTGAATGTCGACTGCTCGGTCCACCATGTGCTTGCGTGGGACATCACCTCTGCGCACTCCGAATGTGCCCAGAGTGAGCGACGATGGATTGCTTTCACAGCTCTGGACGTCATGACCGAGGTCCTCCTGCTCTTCCTGCCCATTCAGTTGGTGTGGGGTCTACGTATGGCCTTCCGAACCAAACTCATCGTCATATCGTCATTTTGGCTCCGAATACCGTACGTACCGCTCGCCAGCAGTGCTTTTGTATTAGCTGATCACGCGATAGAACCCTAATCTTCTCTGCTCTTCGCCAAAGTGAGATACATCAACTTACGACTACATCTGATGTCTCTCTCGCGGCAGCCACAGTGGTCATCTGGCAGGCTGTGCAACTATCGTACTCTCTAGCGGCCGCGACGCTCGCTGC